TCCAGTAGATAAACAATCGTTCAATGATGGGTAACCAGGCGAATGAGAACTTGCATTAAACACCGGTCTTATACTCGTGCTACTATTTTCTTTAACAACTGCTCTATGAGGTAAATAATGTACACCCTTATATTTATTCTTATCCGGTACTTTTTCAATTATCCCGAGTGCTAACCAGTTCTGGAAAACGTCTCCGTAAGCGTTCAAAATTTCCCCGTAGTCATTAATTTTCTTTTAGTACTTACAAGACATTTTTCTGCTATCACTTTGTTTTCGGGTAAAAGCGAGCTATCCGACACCCAAGGTAATGCTACTTCGTACCTTCCCTCTGAATTTACCGTAAGAGTCTCTTCAAATATTTTTTGCGTATCCTCCTGTAACTGAGTTTTGGTTTTACTTACGGAAGGTTCACCAATACCCAAAACATCTAACTTCCAGAGATCACTTATACATTGACCCTTCACTAACAGAGAAGAAAAATTAGGAGGGATGCAGTATTTATCGTAGTTGGCTCAGTGCCAGTAAATTTACCCATAACAGTCCAGCCTAATTGCGTATGCACCGCGCTGACGCCGCACGTAAGGGGAACAATTTTTCCAGTTAGCAACTTACCAGCAAAATCCGCACCAATTAGTAATTTTATCTCTTTATCTACCTTACATGTACCATTTTCTAAATCACTTAATTTGATACCATGTGACTTAAGTTCGCGTAACCACGAACCAGATGGGAGTTGCTTAATTTCAGAACAAATTTTGTTTTGACCAAGTACCTCTAATTTACACTTATATTTACTATATATATTTCTTACTTCAATAACATAGTTTTTATATACATTTTCTGAAGTCTCAACACCACCAAAAAAAGAAATTGCTTAATTTTTGATTCACCAATACACTTACAATTTAACCTTTGAGCAACATCATTACATAAATATGATTTCATAGAACCACTATCATAAATTGCTCGTACAAACATTTCTTTAGAACCATTCTGAATTTTTACAATTAAAGTTTGAAGATATACATCTGATACCTTAACATAGTTATTAAGAATGCCTGTTTTTGTTTTCGTCATTCCCTAACTTTGTGACACTTTTTGTTTTGTTAGAAGGCAAATCAGGGCACATAATCACAAAATGTCGATTTTTACATAAGGTACACCTATGTTTAGCTGTGCACTGATTTGCTCTATGGTTTTTCTTAAGGCACACAAAACAAACATTCTTTTTCTTAATAATATCTTTCTTACATTCTAAACTCATTAAAGATGCATCTTTACAACTTTCAGACAAATGGGATTTTTCACAAAAAATACAAGTATATCAGACTTTTTATACTTTTGAAAATTATCATTACACTTACTACTATTTGCATTAATTAGTTCACATGCAGTTGGAACAACAGGTTTTGTGTCAAAAAACTTATTTTTCTTATTACTTACTTTATCAGAACCCAAAACATCACGGGTAAGTTTAACTCTAAATTCAGTTTCTACTTCCCTTTTAGAAAATCAATTAATGACTCTAAATCACTCTTACCTGTTGTTTCAGGAGACATACCTCGTTGTCTTTCCCAAATTTGTATTAAATCAGCAGGAAGTGCTGATTCCACTAAAGGAAATAAAACAACTGCAAATTTATCTTTAGTTAAACCGAGTGATTCCAATGCGCGTAGTTGAGTTTGCAACTTGTCATAAAGAGTTAATAAGTCTATCTTTTGTTTGTCATTGATTACCAGTTTTAATAGCTCTCTAACATAAATTTGAATTAAAAACATTTTCATTTCCAAATCGTTCTTTGAGATACTCCACGGCTTTTTCGTAATTTTCTTCCGTAGCAGGAAAACTCTCCACTATTGCTCTAGGCGCAGTCTCAGGTTTCGTAGATTGTAGTAGATAATGAAACTTGTCTCTCTTGTCGATGCGAGTATCTTCATGTATTTTACTAAACCTCGTCCAAAATGTCAACCACTTTCGGGAGTCTCCATCGAACTTCACCAGTTCGATCTCCGGCAATTTCTGTTTTGCGGCCGTAACTATTCCTGATGAAGAACCGCTATTCGTTGACCCAGTAGAAGGCTGTGAACACTTATCCTTTTTCCTGTTGGCTTTTACTTTCAACGTAGTTAATTTATCGTAATATTCTTGAGCTGCACTAAATTCTCTTTCGTATTCTTCTTCAACACAGCCTTTTTTCTGTAGAAGTTCCAAAAAAAGAGTCATCCGTATTTCGTAAAGTTTTATACTTCTCTGAAATTTGATCTAAATAAATTTCTAAATCGTCCAAATCCGGAGAATCTGATCGTATCAGTTCATCTAACTTATTAGCTGTTTTCGTAAATACACTCCTAATTGCTTTCCGCTTCTGTTTTAGTGTTTCTAAATCATCCATGTTTGCACCTAGGAACTTCTCTTATTTTCGTAAATTATCAAGTGTCGAAATCGATAATGTCACCCTGTGACATTCATCCTGGCAGGCTCGCCAAATTTGTTGCTTAACAAGTAAATCATAGGTTCGAAAATCTGAGCCGACACTTTTTAAAAACACCAACATTTATTTTCACGACATTTCTAATTCTACAAAATCTTAAGTGCAACTAACTATCAAACAGAAAAGCAGACGTAGACGTAATGATGCATCATCTGGGCACGTGATCCTCGTGACAGACGAATTCTTTAGGGTTGCCACAGAAAGGCAGGGTGTCGCCACACTAGTATTTTTAACTATTTTCGGGAACTTTGGGTACACCCTGTAATTTGCTGTGTGTTCTGTTTCCAGGCCATTTCAACACTTAACAACGTCTAATTTCTTAGCTGAACAATCGGAAGTTTAATGTGGGCCTGCGCATTTTAAGCAGCGTGGATTAAGTTTACAAGGATCAGAATGGTGGTGGAAATGTTCGCAGTTGTGACACTGCCCAACACCCCAACTCACCTTGTATTCAACAATTTCAACATAAAACAACATAAAGTAAGTGATATCATAAACCTTCGCAACCCCTTTAACATTTTCAAGCTGAATTTGGAAGAGAGGCATGGGTGCACGAGACCCAAGTCTGTGCATTTGTGCAACTTTTTTTACCTTGAAACCTAAGTTCAAGAGTTCATCTTTGATTTCATCTGGAGAACTATCAATTCGTAGGCCTCTAATAACTACTTTGATGGGCTTGTTTATCTCTTTTTTAAATAAGATAATTTTCAACATTTTGGCCTCAAGATAATTTGTGATTCCTCTGATCACTAGTTTCAGGAAAAATTTTAAGAAAGTCACCAGTGACTTTTCCTGCAAAATTTAGCTTAGTATCTTCACGTAATTGTTTAAGAAAGTCAGAATATTTACAGGCAGGTTTGGCCATAATTGACTTAATCTTAGGTTCAACAACTTGAACAGCTGTTTGCATACCCATATGTGTTTCAGTGCTATCACCTACTTCATTTGACAGATTCTCAAACATATTATTTACCGGAATTTTCATATTAGGTTTCACTAGCTTGGGAGGGCGAGCCGTATTTTTCAGCAAAGCCAGTTGCATCAATCTGCTTCGATGAGCGTTTCGTGGCAGAGCGGTAAAGACGCTGAACACTGGTAGTTCGATCCGAGATTCGAATCCAGCGAACGGGCTGGCTGCATGGGCGTTTTTGTGGTTTTCCCCATGTGTAACATGTATACGAGCCGTTTTCCCTTAGAAAGTACTCCACGAAGGCATCCCTCCCTTCATGCAGATAGCCCTCGTGTGCTTTCGACACGAGGCAACTCCATAATTGAATAATCAAATAATAAGTAGCACACTTATGGTGACTTATAAGTAAACTGGTATGGTGACTTGAAATGGTGGTGAAGTATGGTGACTTGGAATAACTGAGGTAAGCCCTCGGCAACTCCCCCTTTTCGCTGATATTCCATTATTCTGGCTTGTTTGATTTTTCTCCGAATCTACACTATTGACTTTTTCCGTTCACTCATCAGCAGTCAGCTTGATATGTTGTTGAATTTTCTCTACATATTACTTAGCAGACTTAAAGTCCTCGTATGTAAGCGTATCCTTTACTAATGCATTGTTCCAGTTTTTATCTAATATGCAATTCGCACTTTTCACAATTTCGTCTGGTAGCTCCGCCACGAGGTGACGGACTGATGTTTTCAAATCTTAACTGACGACGAAGGGGAATCTTCTTCCTGCATAATGATTTTTTAAAAAATAATCCACAGACAATGATATTAAGCTCACTACATAAGAAAGTAACACCATCAGAACCGAAAAACACATTCGTAAAAACACGACGCAGAAGGATTTTCACATGAGCAACGAGGCTCGCAAGATGAGTCACGATAAGTTAACCGAAGCGATAACAGATAACGTCGTACCAGCTCGACAGCTCAGCAGCGAATCTCCAAATATTGCATCTGAACACTAGAGTTGATCGGCAAACTGAGAACAGAAGTAAACTTCAGTAAAAGTGACCTTTTTACATCTCCCATATCTAGCTACACTGTTCGTTTGATTTTCTGTAGAAAGTTACTAGTGTAGGAAGCATTTAACTTAACATTTCACTTTAACTTAACATTCACTTCAATTTGGAGGGTATTAAGAAATATAAAGAACGGCTTCCCTTCTTTTTACTGTAAATCACAAATAACAGAAATCGCCGATGCTGAATCGATGAATCCAGCGGCACAACCAAGATTAATCACTAGAGAATAAGATTTTGATATGTGCTAGGGACTTCTCTTTCAGCGTAGGGATTTCTCTTTCTTCTTAGCTGGATACAAAATTTTGTGTCCTAGTATTGCCTGAATATGCGTTCAGAAATTAGAATTGATTTTTAAGACTGACTGATTACTAAAATAAAGTTTTATGAGACCAAAAGAATTTTTCACTGAAATTATTGTTCAGTTTCACAGTAACCTAGCCTTTTTTTACTTTAGGGCTTCTTCGAATTCCGGCTAGAATTCTCATAATCTGAGATGCCGAAGTCTTGCTCCGGTGGTTTCCGGCGCAGTTTAAGCTCTGAGGTAGGTTTCTGTGGTGCGAGACCTAGATGCTCGAAGGATTCGACTCATCTGGATAATTGCATTAATGTAAAAAATTGCAGTTGCCCTATCATGTGTAGTTGTTATTCCAAACGGGACAAAAGTAGTCATTCTTAAAGGCCATGGAGTTGCGAAAATGTTGCGAAAACGGTGTGTATAGTCAGCCTAGGTTTAGAAACATATTAACAGAAATTAATTTTTCAAATTTAGTTTGAGAGATATGAAGGAACTGTCAGATTAAAAAGACATTATTCTCATCAGTTGCTTTCTAAAAGTATGGATATTCTTTGTGATTTCCCAACAATATAAAATACAATTATTAGAAATTAAGTTAAATCACAATAATACTTGCAAAGTAAAGAATTATTTTATTTGCAGTACTTTCCAACAATGCTTGATTGTAAGAAATTCATTTGCACGTTTTCATAATCTTAAAATAATTAAGTTGAATTAAGATTAGCTCTATATGTATAATTTTCTTTAGAATTAGCCCAAGAAGGCATTACCCCTATAATGGCATGACTCTCTTTTGAATTAAATCACCCTTGTATACGATCATAATTTACTTTCTTTCATTTTTATGTTTAAGATTTTTCTATCTTCATGTATTTATTTTTATTCTCTAATGCCCCGAAAGAAGGAATTAGCAGCGCAACCTGACTAGCTATCGTAACGAGTTCTTAACTGTAAGGACAATGTGTAAAAGTAAACAAACGGAAATTTTGTAATATCTGTTACATGTTTTCTGCTCTGATAATCGAATAAAAATCTTTGCGATTGTTAACAGTAAACTTCATAAAAGCGTAAACTAATGTAAGCATTCAACTAATTTTTATTAGCATGCTTGGGTTAAACATAACATAAAACCATACGAAGTCATATAACACTCGTTACATTCGTCGTTAGCACATATAATCTTTTATTGAATGATTGATTAACTTTTTGTATAACTGTTAAAAAATGGTTTTAACATTGCTTGCTTTTGTACTTTTTATTCCTTTGTAAATTCTTATTGTTATCATTATTCTTATTGTATTATTTTATTGTATGTAATTTTAATAGGATATCTTAGTCTTATTTTAAATTGTTGTCATATCGTGTGGAGGTATTGGAGGTATTTTTGCTTTGTATTAGTGTGTGCATATGTTAATCATAGTAAAAACTTATTGCGCTTTTTTCAATAAGTTGAAAAACATACTTGTATATCTACAAGATGCATACCTGTATGTTAACAGAAACTGAACTAAGTGAATGAATATGTTGTAATGAAGCGATAAAGCTTAACATAATAACGACGCCAAACTGTGGCAAAATAAAAAATTCTCCTGAAGGAATTAATTAATACTAATCATATAAGAGGAATTTTGAACTTCTTGCTATCGTAAAAATATATTCGTAAAAAATGTGATAGCTTTGAACTAAGAGAAACTTGTCGAATAAATATTATCTATTTTTTTTATCCATATATAATGACGTATAAAAAATTAAATTTCAATTGAGAGTAGTTTTAAATAAATTCTACATACCATGTCAATGCATTTAGGCTGATATCAAGTGACCAGACTTCTTGAATTATGCAAGAAAGTCCTGTATTTTGATGCATTGTCTCTCTTCATGATGTGTCCCAGAAAATGTGCGGATTTGACAAGGATAGTTAGTATGAATTTTGTTTGTATAATCCTTACTATCATGGAGATGTTTTTGTGGGACGAGGAATATATTCTATAATCCAATAATTGTACTTTCTAGTTATGTGTTTTAGAGAACTTGAAAGGTCCATGGAAAGTGTGGTTTATGAAAAGATTTTTATTCCAGCTGAGTTTCGTACTCGGTAAATGGGCCATCTAAAGAATTTTAAATCCATTAACTTTTGAAAATACAGAGAAATTTAAACAGGTGGGTGAAAGCATAACTTCTGAAAAGAAATATTTATGTAATTATATCATAATTATCTGGTAATAAAGTTTTTAAAAAGATAGGTCATTTCAATATGACAAAGCACATAAGGGCTATCTACGTGAGGAAAAGGATGTCTTTGTGGGTTATATTCTAAGGGAGACTGGCTAGTATTTATATTACACGTGGAAAAACACAAAAACCAACTATGCAGTCAGCCTGCTCACTTAGGATCAAAACCAGGTTGAACTCCCTTGTATTCAGAAACCTTAATCATTCAACCACTAGTGGAGCAATTAAAATATGATATGAATACCTGAAAGATTATACCCAGTATAAAATTGAAATTAAAGCAAGATTTTTTCCAGTAATCAGAATGGTCGTATTTAATAATAAATACAGTGAAAGTTCTCTTGGTGACTGCCTGTGAATATAAGCACTGTTTTTCGCTAATGATGAAATCATTTGGAACTTTGGTCCTGTATAAATGATTTCACTGTAATGAATGAGTAGATGAGGAAACCCAGGTAAAAATGTGAATTGTGTAAAATAATAAGTTTATGCCCCTTCTCCCCCCAAAAAAACAGTCCCTCTTTTTTTGAAGTTGTTTAAATTGTTTTATTTTGCATTGGCTTAAAAAATCTGATAACTTCGTTTTTATGAATGTGTATGATTACTCACGTTTCCATGCAATCTTTCTTTCTCTCTGGAGGAGTCACTTCAGAGGGCAAGACAGTTGATAATGTCCATGATGACTAGTGTTTATTTATTTACCGAAAATTTTTACCGCTTTTGGAGGTAAAAGTTTGCAGTTTTTTTTTTGTGTTATTAAAGTCAATTTAACATCATTGCTAGGCTTATTATTTTGTTTAATGCTCTCTCAAGTCACCCAGATGGTATAGTGTTTAGGGGAGCTCTACTGTTGTATCGAAGGGCCCAGGTTCGAATTCCGGAGAAAACATGGATGTTTGTAAATGTAATAATGACCATGCGGCATAGGGGCATTCTAAATATGCAGCAAGCCGAAGTCCTTTCTTGTGGTTTGGTGTCAACAAAACAATCCAACCTCTCTTTGGCAACCGTATTTCCATGTATTATGGACAGGACAACAACAACGCTGCCTTAACACTTCAGCTGTCTCTCTATAATTTCTATTCTCTAGTGAAGTCAGATGATATCAGATTAAGTTCAAGAAAACCAAATGTATACATTATCTGAGTTGGAAATTTGTTTTCAAAATGTGTAGTCAAGAAGTATTCTGTGGGAAATATGCGAACTGATGCTGCAAATATTAAGAAATGCATGAATGGTAAATATTTAATTTAGGTAATATTTTAAATTTGTATTTTTTTCAGGAAAGTTCATTAAAGCGAAGCCAGAATATAAAATAATGATTTGAAAATTTTTAGTTGGAGTGCATAAAGTGTCTGTTTTGTGTTGTAGTTATTTTTCATGTTTATTTTCCATTTTTTACAAATAGTTTCACTGTCATGACTGATTGTGAAGTTCCTCCACGGCCACATACTGTTGGTTCAATGCCAAAGTCATATGTTCCATCCAATTTTATTATGAAATTAATTAAAGATATTGAAAATGAGGCAACAACTCCAACAGTCAAAACAAGTAAGTATGAAACTGTACTTCATTTTATGAGTTATGTGAAATAAAATGTCATTATTAACATTATACTTTGATCACAAAATGATTATAATTCTTTATTATAATTAAACATTTCTGTTGTGCTTTTTTTTGGGGGGGGGCAGGATTGAACCGCTAATTGTATTTGTTTAATTACATAATGTTCATATTGAATCATAACAGTATATTATTTTACTAATAAATGTAAATTTCGTCATATATTTTTCATTGTAGTGTAAAAAACTTTTATGTAAATTCTGCAAGGAATTTTCTTTTTTATACTTTTATTTAGTTTCTTAATTATTTCATTCTTTTTTCCTTCTTAAGTTCATTAATCATCATTCTTTAAATTTGTATTATTAAAATATTTATATTTGTATATTGCATATTAAATTATATATTTGTGTATTAAATTTGTATTATTCTTTAAATTTTACTTTTCTGTTTTATTATTTGAAAGATTTTTAGAACTTTTATTCATATGTAAATTGATTTTTGTGCATAGTAAAGTTAATACCAAATTGAAAAACAAAAAATAGGTTGAATATTTCTGAATGAGGTGATGTAACTGTTAAGTTAAACAATTTTATATTATGTATGCTAAAAAACATACATCTTGCATCAAGGGCACTATCACATTCATTAAATTAAAACTTTATGGGAATTATAATATGGGATTTTTGTATCTGATAACTTGTTTGTGTTTATAAAACTATTATTAATAATAATAATAAAATAATTAAACAAAAGTTTTATAAATCTTTTTTTTTTTTTTTTTTTTTTTGTCAAAACTCTTGTTCACATTTTTAGTCCAATTATCTTTTAAGTTATGTGCTGTAATTTTTAATTTGATTATGTCTTATCCTATATACAGGGTGATTCTAAATTGCTTTTATAAATTAGGAGGTGTTATAGTACATATCCAGACTTTAACAATAATTACCATAGAACACAGGGTCGCATTCCACTCTGAGAGACAGAAAAGAGAAAAGTAGAAATGCAGTTGAGGAAGAACAAGGAGACTATGTCCTAAGACAGTGATGGTGAACCTGGCCACAGTTGGCACACAGAGCCTCATCAGCCAACATGCAACTAAAATATTACTTCCTTAATCAATCACAAGAAAATGATACTATGTTATTTAAATGTTTTAATCTGTTCTTGAATGTTTCACTTACTTACTTACCACCTAATGCCACTGGCATAGGGTCTAAGCCTAGGTATAAGATTTTCATATATCGCCATAGAAATGATATACATATTTATTGACACAATTTATGACATTGCAATTGTTTACATCAATCGTATTATTTGTTACATGGCAAAGAATACACCAAAGTTGAAGCAGCTAATATTTTCTGAATAAATTTAAATTTATGGGAGACTGCCGGTGAGTTTTAATACTTTCATTGTTAAATAGATTCCAATTTTCAGATCTAAGTATTTTGAGGTAACTTCTAAATAATTCTAATTTAATATCTCAAATGGAATGTATAAATATAATGATAATATAGCAAAACATGAAAGCTTAATAGGGAAGCCAAGCTTATTCACATGCACTCAGCCAAAATAAGTCCAATAAAGCCTAAAAGGAGCATATCAAATCTAAAATTAGAAGTGTAATTAAGAGATGTCCGGGTTAATACTTACTGTTATCCCCTGTGCATATTTGAATCTGTAGCCATAGATTCTTGATTCATGAAAATCCAATTCCTTACTATTTGGCTAATAATATTACCTCTTTTTAGTACATAATCGATTTGTATTTAATGCTTCATTTTTAGTCCAAAGGGCTTTTGTTCCTGAAGGACTATTATTTTCGTTTTGCGATTTTGCGTCAAATCACTATAAATGGTGTATCACCTTTCAAATTGTTGCCACCAAATGTTAGAGTCCTGCATTATATTTGAAGAAATTAAATAATGAAGAATCTGCATAAATGTATGTATATTTCTCGCATTGTAATAAAACAACAGTACCTAGAGCCATCCAGTTTTCCAGAGCCAGATGTAATCTTACTGCGAATATTGGCATCTGAAAGCTCAAATTTGAAATTTAGAATTTGTTTTGTTATCGATTTCATATTTTGTAAAACTTTAACGAATTTTTGATTTACAAACTCAGTGATTTAAAAGCAAGCAATGGCAACACTCAATGGAGGAGGGAACCTTTTTATCTCCAGTGCCCGGAACTGTGTATTGGAAATTCTAAAGATATGCTTGTTTTAAAATTATTTTGCAACATTGCTGTTGAACTGAAATTTATGGTTTAAGTGCAAAGAACATCATATTTAATAAATAAAGTCAACACATGAAACGTTAAAAAAAAAAGGCCCCTTTGGACATAATTTAAAAACCTGGTCAAAGCTGGAGTTACTGATTGCAAAAGGAAAGCATTATGCATCATTCTGTGCAGGGAAAATGTTGTGTGTCGCACATCTAGTGTCAGATGACACTTTAACACCAACCACAAGATTGTTTCCTTCAAGATTCTCCACAAGATTGTTGATGTAGCTTAACAGGTGTTTATTGAAGGGAAAATAAGGAATTATAATTGCCAGAAAGTTGGTTTTTGCAAGTATCTTTCTAAAGCAAACCATCTAACAATGGCCAGCTTTCAAATTTAACTGTGCCTGGCAAAACATGGTAAACTGCTCTCTGATGGGGATTTAATCAAAGAGGTCAGGTTGTCTGGGAGTAATTCCTTTTCTCATGACTTTCCAAATAAGGACAAAATTAAACAACACATTGCTGAGATGTCATTTAGCAGAAATACTGTAAAAGACCGAGTCCTGCGGATGGCAAGTGATATTGGTCAGCAGCTCACCGCTGACTTACAAAAAGCAGCCTGTTACTCAGTGTGCTTGGATTAAAGCACACATATAAATAGCCAAGGCTAGCAATAATTTTGCATTATGCTGTTGGTGATACTATGAGAGAAGAGCTGGCTGAATTGGCATCTTTGCCCGAAAGAACACGAGGAATAAATATTTACAATGCTGTGATGGAAGCTCTTTTGCAATAAGACATAATACCAGAGTAGTTTCAATTACTAGTGACTGTGTGCCTTGCATGTTGGGAACAACATCTGGTTTTGTAAAATTCTTTGTTAAAGAAGCAAAATATACATTATTCAGTTTCGTTGTCTTATTTACCTCTTAGTGCCAGGGACAGCTGCAAAATATTATTAAACAGTGTTCTCAAAGATGTAACCAAAATGATGAATTACATCATGGCTCGAGCTCGTAATTGTTGAAAGTTTCAAGCACTTCTTGAGGAGGTTCAAGCACAATAATAACACAATGCTTATGTACAATAATGTCTAATGGTTGAGCAGAGGATGGGTTTTAGAGAGAATTTTAAGCTGCTTGTATGAAATTGGGTTATTTTTGAATGAAAAAGAGCAGGATTATCCACATCTCACTGATATGGTCTGGCTTAACAACGTTATGTTTTTTACAGATTTTACACAACACTAGAGGCAACTGCAAGGCTTAGGAAAAAAGGCAGAAAGGATGTTTTGCGATATAAAAACATTTGAAAGAAAACTGCATGTTTTTGAAAGAGATCTTGCAAGTGGACAGCTGAAATATTTTCCAAATCTAAAAATGCGTCTATAAAATTCTACACAATTTGCACATAATCCTTCAAGTCATGAAGAAATCTACAAGAAAGTTTCCAGCATCGTAGCAGCTGCAAAGGAGAATTCTACTGATAGATTTCTAAAGTGCTGTCAGATGGAAACAAACATGTGTTTTCTTACTTTGAAAATTTGGAAATGGAGCTATTGGAATTTTAAGAAAGCTCTATGTGGAAAAGAAAATTCTCTGATCTGCATGCAACACTTTAGAAGATGTGTGAAGAGATCACACACAGGACAGCACAGTTGATAGTTATGAAAATGAAATCCTTAAAGCGTGGAATTCTCTGCCAAATACATTTAAATCAATGAAAACACTTGGGGGTGTTATTCTTACTTTGTTTAGATCATCCTATGCATGTGAACAGCTGTTTTCAGCTTTTGAATTATATTAAATGTGGCACAAGAAACAGATGGACAGATAACCTGAGTGCTGCATGTGTTGTGCTCAAAGTAACAAAGTATGAGCCAAGGTTTGATGAATAATCAGTATGTATACAACAGCAAAAATTCAATTAATTATGCAAACAACAGCAAAAATTCAATTAATTATGCAAAAACAATCTGTTTCAAAGACAAGTGTTTTGCTAAGCCAAACCCCCATTTTCAAGTTTAATTGGAGTGTTGGCACTTTGTTATAAATAAATGGGTTTTGGTTGAATTTTGGGCAGGTGGTCCCAAAAAGGTTCACCATCGCTGTCCTAAGACTATAAAGAATTAACCATATGCAAAATTGCACTGAGAAGAAGCAGTGCTTTGCTCTTAGTTGGTACCAGAGAAAGCCAATCAGAGCAAACAGTGTCCTTGAAAATGGCACAACATCATCGCTTCAAGTATTACCTTGATCCCATAAAATTTTCGTGAATGATATGGGAGAGTACATGTATGAGGAATTGGCAGACATTCACCTCACATACGGTGAAGCAAAAGGGAATGGACGTGAAGCACGAAGATTGTATGAACAGCGGATTCTAAGTCATCCAACCTTTTCCAGTGTTGATCAAAGACTGGAGAAACTGGTTCTTTTGCCATCTCAAAAAGCGATGCAGGACATTCGTGAAATGCATGACCGCCAGAAATGGAAGAGCGCGTTTTGACTAGATTTGAAGCAGCTCCTTCCACAAGTACGCGAGCGGTAGCATACGAAATGGGTATTTCTCAGCTAGTGGTATTGCGTATTTTACATGAGGAACGCATTCACCCCTACCACCTGAAAAAGCGCAATCTTTGTACACAGATGATTATCCCTACCGGGCATACTATGTACAATGGATATTATGGGTGAAGAATAACGATCCACGATTTCCTGCATTAGTATTATTTAGTGATAAGGCAACATCCAGCAGAGAAGGCATTTTCAACGTGCACAATCAGCATGTTTTGTCTGACAGTAATCCCCTCAGCACAGCCCTTCATAAACACCAGCAGAAATTTTGTGTGAACATCTGGACAGGTATCGTAAGTGATTACCTGGTAGGCCCTTGCATCGTGCCAGGCTGTTTGACCGGCACAACATAGAGTATCTTCTTTGAACAAGTGCTTTCCAGTTTATTGCAGGCTGTTTCACTTCCTATCTAGAGAGACAGGTGACGGAGGACGGGGACGCCTGACGTATAACATAGGTAAACAGGCATATGTCCCACGTCCTCCACTATCTCGAAGAAGCAACTCGCTGGAGCCCCGTGAGGCTGCACCAGGAGTTTACATGGCCATACAGGGGCTAGATGTCGGGTAGTTTTTACATAGGACGTTGTTAATAACACAAAGTAACTTAGCAAGAATATAAAGGATAGCATTAAAACACTAAAACACTCATATAAGCTGAAACACATAGATATACAAAATTAAACGTAAAAGCATAAAAACACACTCGTAATTACGTAACATAAAGACATAGAAACACACACGAAAATACATATCATGACACATAGAATACATATGGAAGTCTAGAGAGACATGTCGTTTATGGATGATGGAGCCCCAGTATATCACGATTCATAACTTTTTGAATGCCACACATCCTGCACAATGGATCAGACTTGGCGGACCTGTGGCTTGGCCTCCTTGCTCCTCAACCCACTGGACTTTTTCTTCTAGGAGCACATGAAATCTTAGTATACGAGACGCCTAAGGACTCAGCTGAAGATCTCGTGGTGAGAATCATTGTTGCCATGGACAAAATTAACACGATACCAGTAATCTTCGAGAGCGTGTGTAGTCATTCCTCTGCCAATGTCAACTGTGCAATGACATGCATTGTTGGCATTTTAAGCACTTTCTGTGAGTTTTTCACTAAACAGTAAATATAATTTGGGAAACTTTTGATCTCAATCATTAGCTTTCCCAACATTATTGTTAAGTTCAGGTTGGAATTCTAATATTCTTCTTTTTTGTCTCTATGAGTGGAATGTGACTCTATGTTCTATGGTAATTATTACTCATTTGGATGGGTACTATCATCCCTCTTAATTTGTAAAAACAATTTAGAATCACTCTGTATAACAGAGAAAAATGTAAGGGGTTAAATGAATAAAACTTCTCTTTTAAAAGTGGTTGATGGAGGAAAAGGGTTGTGAGTTATTGATTTAGAAACATAGCATAATAATAAGATGTTTTCTGGACTTTTACTACTAATTTATTTCTATCTGATAGTATAAGTATAATTTACATGGCAGACTAAGGCTCATTTCTGGATTCTGTTTATCAAATATAGTTAAACTGTACTCACACTAACATATTTGTGGATAATTCAACAAAATTATTTTGTATCCAAAGTGAAGATTTTGTAATATTGTTCAAATATAAATAAAATTGATGTTTATCATAACATTGTTATAGCTCTCTTAAAAATACTCTTTGTTAGTAATTGAGAAATTCACAGATCAATTTAAAACTTTGAATTGAAATTAATGAATGTTTTCTTCTCCCAGAAATTGTGAATTAAAATCTTAATGGACAGGTACCATCTAAAAAAATATCCCATGAGAAATATAATGCTTGTTTTTATTATTGCATATTAAATGTATGAATTATTTCTTCTTACTGCCCTAATGAATTCTTGTTCACTTCTTCCCAAGTTTTGACAGTTTTACATTTTCAAGGAATGTAATTTTTATGATAGATATTAAAAAGTAACATTTTTTAATACATAACATAATTTTTCCCTTTCTTTCTAACCCCTCACTTTTAAAATTTAAATATAAAATTTTCTGTGCAATTGATGTTAGAAATTAACTTTTTAGAAAAGTCTTTTTATTTTAATGCTTAAAGTTTCATTTTATTCAATTAGTTTATCCTAGGAAATTGATATCCATTTTTTAATCTAAAGCTTATATATTTTTACAGAACCAGTTCAGAAAAATTATTTGAAAGAAAACCTTAAGCGCTTGAAAGAAATAGAAGCAAGTGCAAAATTGAAAAATATGGAGAAGCAACCTCTGCAGCCAGTGAAAGTCATAAACAAATATGGTCAAGTTCCTTCTAAAATTTCTACAACAATAAATGTAATTAAAAGAAATTTTTTCCTTTCTTTGCAAGCTATTATTTTAAAGACCGTGTGTTTTTCTTCTCTAATATCTGAATCATATACATTTATTTTATCATTTAGTTTCTTCTACTTCTTCTTCTTCTTCTTCTTCTTCTTCTTTTTTTTTTTTTTTTGTTTTTTGTTTAAATCTTTTGCATTTTAATGCTGTTGGGTCATCCAGAAATTTCTGTGGATATTTTATGGTAAATTCAAATCAAGCAGGACAAAAACACAGAAATATTTCATTCAATCATATAAGTACAGGTGGTCAGTTCTGAGCACTTAATTTTCATGCCTACTTTTAAAACTTCTGTTTAGTAACAGTATTTTTCTGAATTTATTGCCTGATTTGGTGTTAAAAATTCATAGCATGAAATTCTTTTGTAGGGCTACTATATGCAAAGCATTACTCTTTTAGAATATAGCCTTGTCTCAGTGTTACTAAATGATGTTGCATTTGGCTTACCCCATTATAATTTTCTTGTAACATTACTGTATAGTTCTCATCTTCAATAATCAGCTGTTTAAAAAAATGGGGGAGGTAACTTCTTTATTTTGTCTCAGCAAAGAATCTCATGCTGAAATTCAAGCAAGCATATTCTGCTGTAAAGTATGGACTACCCATCCATCATAGTGGCTTACATTCCCAGTCTTCTTCAAATGTTCATGTATGGTACTTTTCTTCAGAATACTTAGTCTGTCTGATAATTCCTGAACTGTATAGATGGATTTTTCAGAATTAGTTTCTTTTACTGTGTCCTGTCTGGTTATTCATCCAGAACAGGCATCATCTTCAAAACTAAAATTTCCACATTTAAACTTCTCAAATACCTTGAAAATATGACATCTGAAACAGCACTTTGTTGATACATTGCAAAAATTTTACATGTTGTTTGACCACAATTTTTCCCTTTAAAAGAAGAAACAAACAAACAAACAAAAAAAAAAAAAAAAAAAAAAAAAAAAAAAAAAGAAAGAAAGAAAGAAAGAAAGAATAAGAAGAGCATAATATGACAAAAGTGAATCAGTTTCTCCATTTTTATCACTGCACTTAAAACAAAAAAATTATGCCGCAACATGTTCTAGGATTATGTAGCATTAGTAGATAAAAGAGTATTTATTGATCTGCTTTGGTCAAAGTTGTTCCTTATTAACAATAACAACATTTTAAAAATAATATACCTTGATTTGAAAAGCTGCTGAACTTTCTAGATGACCGAAGATAATCTAACTGCATGTGTAAAAAGGTATTCTGAGTCTAGAGTTTGCTTTTAAGTGGTATTAATTTCATAAATGTATTGTGCTACTTTAAAGACTTTTTTTAAATATTTTTCTTTGTGTTTTTTTTCTGGTGATAATTCCATCTGTTTGATATCAGAATGATAACTGTCATTTTGCAGATGTTTGTTTAAGCCTTATTCAAGGCCTGTATTGGATTCGTATAAGATCTTAATCCTATTGAAGTTCATGCTCTCAATACTCAATAACTAAAGTGATTGAATAAGAATAGCTACTTTCAAAATGGTATGAAAACAATTTTTGAATTATTGTTTGGAAAGTAGCAAGGCATAAGTTTCTGCAATTATATTTGAAAATTTTATGAAATTTTTTTATATTTCGTAAATTAAAAATTTTTCTACAAATATCCATGAATGCCAGCCCATTCCTTTGTTTTCCTTTTAAGTATTAGGTTCACATTTACATTCAGATAGCTTTAGCATTACATTACACTGAAATTTGTATGAGGAGGTCTTTTCAAATTAATCGTGTTCCAAAAAGCCAAACCAGAACCTTGAAACTTAAGGTATTGTACTTCTGTTTTGCTATCTGTAGTAAAGGCATTGAACACTGCTAATTCAGTCTAGGATTCAAATCCCTGCAAATGAACTGGCTGCATGGGTATTTTCATTTCCCCCCCCCCCCCCCCATGTGTAATGTGTATATGAACCAGTTTTCCATAGAAAGTCCTAAGTTATATGAAATAGCTGTTTGTTTTCTTTTAATAATGGCAAAACCTTTGACATAGAATAAATCTGTTTTCTGAATTTAAATAAAAAATATGTTGCTTAATTAACCTGTTCACGATGGGCACCTCTGTTACCGAAGCGCTTTCTTGGAATGCCGCGTTAACCAGACACGTCGTTATGTGGGGACGGGCAATTCGCGCTGCTAAGCCTAACTTTGGAAAAAAATTTGTATAAATTAAATTTGTCATCCAATTGTTCCAAATTTTGGTACATTATGGGAAGAACATTCAGATAGTTGTCGGAATAAATTTAAAACCTTTATTGTTATATTTTCCTTAAAATTTTTATAAGATAACTCATTCTAGAATAATGTAATTTTTCCTTTATCCCACAATTAAATATAAATGGAAAAATATCCAAACAATTGCAGATTTTATTTAACACAACACATAATTAAAATGACAAAATATTAAAACTGTCTTTCATAAAAATTCAATGTGCAAACAACGAAAAGGAAGCAATATTTAAAAAAAGAGACTGTGTATGATATTCTTTGAAACATGGCTGTACGCAAAGTCCAAAGTTGCAAATGTCACAGGAAAAGAATATCAACAAATTTAACTCATGTAGCATTTGTGTATCTTCTACGGTCAGACAGCGCTTTCGTTTTGCCATTAAAAAAGTAAAATACCAGCAATGGAACATTAAAAAAAAAACTTTTGCTAAGCCATACAAAATATTCGTCTCAATTCTGGAAAAATCTAAGAGTAATAAAAAAGTCTCTAATGATAGAACATCTACTCCAGGTGGTAAAAAAATAAAATAAAAATAGAATTAAATAAATTAAAGGTATTCCAGAGCATCGAGAACATGTTCATTTGTTTATATGGAATGAGGCAGTAAAAGCCATCACGTTACTCAACACTAACGAATTAGCATTTGTGTATATTCTTCTAGGTTCAGGTACCTATATCGCAAAAATAAAAATAAAAAGTACCTCAAAGCATCAAGAGCACGTGCTTTTGTTTATGTCTTACATCAAATGATGCAGTTAAAGAGACATTACATTACCCACCCACAAATCTCCCTCTCATTCTGAAAGAAAATACAAAAAAAAAAAAAAAAAAAAAAATGCATAGGAATGAAGGTACATATATACTTAACTTTCGTTATATTTTCCCGTAACAGACATACAGCGGCAACAAAAAATATGAATTAAATGTTCTACTTAAAAAGTCAAATGTGGTACGCCCGGCCATAGAATGAATTAAATGGCAATTCAAATGTGACACACCTGGCCATGAGGTAATGTTTGCTGCTGATGCACATATGACACACCTGTACTGAAAGGGTTAAGGAAGTCTGTGAATGTGCAATATAACATACCTATATTTCATAATACAATACAAAATCTGAGATCATAATACAATACAAAATCATCAGGATTTGGCTGATTCCAGATTTTGGAATTTGTGGATTTAAATCTAGTAAAATGGCATGTAGATTTGGTAATAAGTATAGGTTGAAGCTAGGCTAGCACATGTGCATCCACATAGTCATATTAGGTATGACTGTACCTTGCTAACTGCTAAACTACTGTCTTGATTTGGAATTCCAAAGGAGAATAATTGGGGGGTCCAAAGTTCTCCCACACTTCTTTCCTTGCAACTAACCTTTTGAGAAGATTTCAGCTTGCTATGTATTTTGAGTACCATCTTGCCACTATATGCTTACAACATCCATGCCTTCTCTGGGATTCAAACCTAGGCCCTTCAGCCATTAGTTTCTCTAACCAATAACCCATCTGGGTGGCAGACATGAAAATATTGACACTTCAGATATTGTTTAGATTTGATTGAAACATGCTAACCCCTCCATAACAACTCAGAGGCTGAACAAATGATCCTGGTCATTGTTAATACATCATCAGTGTATTGTCATTGGCCACAGTGCAGTTCCAGCAGGTGTTTGAAAGGGATATACAGCAATCTCAGTCAGGAAAAAAATCACATTTATGGTACACTTACTTTCCTTTGTTGAATATTATTTTCTCAACAACAATCTCAAAGCATTTAATTCTCCATTCCTAAACTTTGTAAGAGGTGTGGGAATTCATATCATATGTTTAGGGTGCAGGTGAGAGAAGATGCAAATAGCTTTTAATCATGTTCAATAGCTGTAGATGGTACTGGTATATGGAATATCTAATTAAGTAGTAAAAGGCTAGAACTTGCAAGCAAATATAGCTGCTGACTCAGCATATTTTATTTCTGGAGAAAATAATTCTTGAGATGCATGTTCTGATTCACTCATCATTAATGGGCACAGTGACATATTTTTGGAAGTTGAGTATATTTTCTGACAGTAGATGACAGAGAAAAGTGAGATGCTACATGTTAGCTGAAAGCAAGAAAGTGTAATACATTCAGAAGAAAGCCTGCAAGAATATCAAAAGGTTTGGGTTCAGAAAACATTTTGATTTCAGTTGAAATCTTATTTGCTTAGTTTCATTTCAGCATGTAACATTTCAACGTTTAATTCAGTGCGTTTTGATTTGAAGTACCTTAGTTTCTGCTGATATTTCTAGAATTTTATTTTAAGATTCAACCAATGTTTAATGAGTTAATATTTGTATTTAGCTTTATTTTACATTAATATAGGTATATTTCTAAGTTTATATGTGCAATAATATATACATTATATATTAATTTAATTTTTTGTCATATTTAAAAATACTTTGATAATAAAAGTTTTCTTCCCTACTTGGGACATTCTCATTATAAAAGTGTAGCAAAATGACAAATGAAATTAGTCAAATAAAATTTAGAAAATCTATTTTAATATTAATATATTTTGTGTTAGAAGCATATTATAAATAAGTTCAGTAACCTGAATCATGCATGATACAATTAATTTGAGTCAGTTTGAAATTCTTTTGAAATAGTGTTATCATGCAGTGCAAAAACCTCCCAGAAACTCTTGGCTTTTCATGTTCCAAGGTTGGCACATATGACATATATATGTAATAAAAAAGGACTTTGCAGTATTGATGGTTGACACATAAAGTTGAATCTGTAATGAAGAGCAAGAATTTTGATGGCGTAGCATGCTGAAATGCCAATTCACAATAAATAAGAAACGGCAGTTGAGGCAAATTAAATCTTTATTTTATTTCAGTAAACATGTTGCGGCCACAGACAACTCTGCAAATTATTTGTGTCTATTTCAATAGGTTTATATTTTTGATAACTTTGCAGTTAGAAGGAAGCAGCAAACAGCAGTCCAGCCAGGCCAAAGAGTAGTAAGCATGCACGAGTGCATTATGTTCAAGTTGAAATCTTAATTCAGACTTAGTTTGTTTTGGTTCTCAATGCAGTATGATTGGATAATTAATATTGCTGTAAAATTAGTATTGGCTGTTTTAGTTTCACTTACATCATCTGAATTATATAACAGTCATAGGATTAGTTTCAAAATGATGCAGTGCAAAGATTACTATTTTTAGAATAAAAAAGGGAAATAAATTTATGCTGCTAACTTAAATTTTAATATCTTTTACATTTTCTTTATTTTTCTTACACATACACACACACATATATATATCATTTTGTTTTTCATTTACTATAAGACAGTTTCCCATTTCTAGTTTAGTTCGCCTTATTAGCTTCAGTAATATGTCATGCCATGTCATAGGAAATATAATTACTAAAACTTTTTTATCATTTATTTTTTAACCAGTGTAAGAGAGGGTTTCATAGTAGAATGTTCTCAGTTCTGTTGCTGTATTTATTTCATATTACACAAAGAGTAGTTCAGATTTAATATAAGAAGATAGTGGTATTATGTCTTTCTTAATATGTAAAAGATTTTCAGTTTTTGAATAAATTGCTTGTACATGAAAAATCAAGCAGAATCTTTATCAAAATACTTTATTCATTGTTGTTCGTAGGCACCTAATTGTAAAGGAGAAATTTCTTCATCTCTCAAAACTGTTGGGCCTGTAAGAAGTCAGCCTCCATTATCCCCGTGCTTGAGTTCTAGATCAGATGGTTGTCGCTCACTTCAGACTTGTAAATCTTTACCACAGTTAAATTGTGCTCAAGATAATATAGAAGTAGGTTTGTAATAGTATGGAAGTATGTTTGAAGTATGTTTGTAATTACACAATTATGTTTATTTGTAATTACACAATGATGTCTGTAATTACATAAGTATGTATGTTTTGCTACTAACACTCTAGAATGTTGTCATACATATACACATTCACATCTATGTCTTAAAACTTCTGGATGCCTTTGTAGAAAGCAACTCTTGGAATACATTTCCATTCCTTCATTGTGCTTCTTGAATTTCGTAAAGACACTAATAAGATATTGTTCCAGAGAATAGAAGACATCTAATAGATGTTCTGTCTGGCATGTAAGAGAATAATTAACCTTTTTTGTGTAAGCTATAGTGAGTAATTTTTTTATGTATTTTAGCTATTTGGTCAACAGTTTAGCCAGAAAAGGACTAAAAAACAAATCAACAAGGTCTGCCTTTTCCTGCTGCAAATTAAGTAACAGATTTCAAATTTCTACAGTAGACTAAATTTCTTTAAGCCTTATTTAACGTCAAAAATGTGTAGGACATTTTTCGCAGCCTCCAAGAAAAGGTTAAAAATGATTACACTTTTCATTGCCACAAACATGCAGAAGTTAGTTGACTGTGTAAGGAAAATTTGTGTCATAGTCTTTGAGTCCATGGCAGTATATGTTAGATGCATAAAACTATATTACACTCACGTTTGTGAAAATTGCAACACCATGAAGGACTTACGCGAGTGAGCTGAAATTTTCAGGAAATGCAAAGTAGCGCATGATATGCAAATGATTAGAATTGCAAATCCGTAGCGCATGCGTATGCTGAGCAGCGCCCTCTGAACGGCTGATGGATCCGAATAAATAGACGGCTGTAGCGAGGCGTGTATGGTTATCGGTGGTTATCTGCTAGTGGTAAACGTTAACTCAATCTGTACTTATGCCTCATCGACGAAAGAGAGTGAGATTTGAACAACTTACAGAGTTTGAACGAGGGAGAATCATCGGCCTTCATGAAGCTGGATTGTCGTATCGTGCAGTAGCCTCTCGTGTGCAGCGTAACAGCAGCACAGTGATGCGCGTTTGGAAGCAGTGGACGGACGAGTGTCGGACAACTCGGAAATCCGGGAGTGGACCCCGAAATGTGACGTCAGCTCGCGATGATAGACACCTGGTCCGCATGGCGCGGACGGACCGTACAGCTTCCTCTAGACAATTGGCAGCACTGTGGTCAATAGCTACAGGTGTTTCATTGTGTGCTTCATCAATTCGTAGACATCTGCTGCAGTGTGGACTGCGCGCACGGACTCCTTTATACAGGATCCCCCTAACGCACGACCGTCGCCGCCTGCGGCTACAATGGGCCAATCAGCATAGAGACTGGCGTGCTGATTGGCAGCATGTCGTGTTTTCTGACGAATCCCGCTTTAATTTGTGGTACCATGATGGCCGCATTCGTGTCAGACGCTATGCCAGTGAACGCCACCTTCCGGAGTGCATTATCGAACACCACAGTGGACGAACACCCGGAGTTATGGTCTGGGGCGCCATAGCATATCATAGACGATCTCAATTGCTACGAATTGTGGGCAATCTGAACAGCAACCGGTATATCCGTGAAGTTCTACAGCCCAAAGCTGTTCCCTTCCTTCAAAGCTTGCCAGGCGCTGTATTTCAACAGGACAATGCCCGCCCTCATACTGCTTGGATTGTTAAATCCTTCTTTGCAGCGCAGCAGGTACAGCTTCTTCCTTGGCCTGCGTGTTCCCCGGATATGTCGCCAATTGAACATGTGTGGGATGTCATTGGTCGGCGTCTTGCTCGTGATCCTCGTCCTGTTGCGTCTGCAGACGAACTTTGGGTACGCGTACAAATGATATGGAATGCTCTTCCTCAGTCAGACATTCAAACTTTGTTTGACTCCATGCCACGTCGTGTAGCAGCACTTATTGCGGCGCGTGGTGGCCACACAAAATACTGATTCTGATCTCTTGTTCTTGTTTGTTTGCTTTGAACATTTAATCATTTATTTGTACCACTACCACTCAACTGTGTATTAAATTGCATTCAATTATGACGATTCCTTCTTGGTGTTGCAATTTTCACAAACGTGAGTGTAAAATGTTTTTTCTGTGAGAAGAAATGTTTCTAAACCTGAAAAGTATTTGGTATCATTTCCACTAGTTAAACGTTTGGCTATTGTGCTAGGATTAGAATGAGTTCAATTTAAAAAGTTTATGCAATTTTACCTTGGGAAGTTTAATTTTGTATTTGTATAATTTTTATATGTATAAATTTGTGTAGATTAAATTCTATTACTGGCAGCATTATAACATTTATTAATGAGATGCTATTGTTTTCACTTATGGATAATATCTTTTTCTGTACAAAAGAAATTTGCGTAATGTTGATGCTGTATTAAATCACTATTTGTTATCCACATGACATGACAAGTGATGTCATTCCATAAGATAGGAGTGTTTTAATTTATCTACCACATGGCCTAGAATATAGCCAGTTTCCATGGTGTTTCCATTTGATATAACAAGATTTTAATTTAACTTCCAAATTAAATTTTTATTGAAAGCAGTAGTATTGAGTTTTTAATAAAATTGGATGATTTATAAACAGTAAACATACTTTAAATAACCTGTATATTTATTTTAATTTTAAAAATATGTTTAATTTATTTAGTCTCCAATACTGTATTCCTCTTATATTCCCCTTATTTTTTATTAGTTTTATTCTCCGAAAATCAGGGGGTAGGAATTATGTAAATGATTTTAATTTCCAAAGAATGCAGTAAGTACGAACATAACAAGTGGAAAGTAGTTATAAACTACAGGTAACCATCACAATGTGTTTTCTTTAAAAGAAAACCTACATTCCTGTAAGAATGCATAATAATATTAGCATTACAATATCTAATAAGATACCTTCATTTCTACTTCCCTGTAACTTGAACATGGCCCATTTTTGTCTCTGCTACTCCGTAGGCCCCAAATCATCCATAAATGATAAGAAGGTGAATGTACAGCCGATGCAGTGAAGTCACAGACTAAATGTCAATTTGTGTTTGCTTCATTGTGATTGGTCAGTTTGTGTATTAGACTGGCATAAAATCCAATCGTTAAAAGTTTAAGGTTCTGCATTACCTTTCCTTTGTGAAGGTTTGTTAGTAAGACAAAAATTATCACTATTTGCACATATCCATGTCAAAATTAAGGGGAACTCTTTCTCTGAATGCACCAAGGAAGGATGAAATTATGCAATTATTTTAGAATCAAGTGCTAAAAAGCTAGAGGGAAAAATACTCAAGGAAATACAGTTTGACTTACTACTTTTATGAACATCTGCACCATGAAAATAACTGATAAAAGATGTTTCTAATATCATATATTTAAACGTCAGTGCAGACTTATCATTCAGTTATTCATTTCATATTATTCTTGGCTAAGAATAGTATTGTTGTTTTTTAAATCCTCTTGCACTTGACATCTTTCATATAATGGGACTTGCTAGAAGGGGTTTTATGGGGTGGGTGGGGCATGACTGTATATCCACTTTAATTGTTTTCAGAGAATTCATTAATTCACCTATATAACTAAGGTACTTGATCTTTTTAATTAGATTTATAGTTAAGTTGTTTTAATAAGGGCTAATGAAAATTTGTCTATTGCCTTGCTTATAAAATTAAACTTAGGCAGATATTAATTTCAACCTTTAGTTTTTCTCAGTTTTTTAGTAATAAAATCATTCTCTAAGTGTTGGAATAATGTGTAAGATCATATAATAATTTAGCTTTTGGGTATAATTTAATAGAATAATTTCCTAAACTTGTTTTAGCATGGGAAAAATATTAATGATACAGGAATAGTGAAATTATGGATTATTCCAAAATAAGCTACTGAATCAAGCATTTCATAGTTCATTAATTAAATGTGTGGAAGCATAATGTGCATAATGGTCCAGAAATTTTGGTAGGACATTTTTAATGTGTAACTTCTTTAAAAGACATTTCTAACATCAATATCATAAGCTGCTTCATGTCATCATTCTGTTAGCAACATATCAAACTCTAAAACTCTTAATAGCAGAGTAACTGTTACCATTTCAGTTAAAGGAAGTTCCAATCTAGGCATTGCTATTGCATGGCCATGTATATGCAACATAACTGTATTTTATGTGCTCTGATGTATCTGTATATATATCATGAAATCTGATTGTTAAAACATTTGTTTTGTTTATTTATCTATTATGCTGTTATATGTTTTGTAATATAAATATTTCTTTTGTTGTAGGTGACAGAGAAATTTCATAGTGGTGAAGAGGAATTGCACTGTGAAAAGTCATCTCATAATATTGCCTGTTCAAGAAGTAAGCACAAGGCTGAATCAAAATCAGAAGCAAAGCATCGCTTGGGTCATATTCCAACTTAGTTAGTTATCTTTTATTGCTATCTTATTACCATGCAAGCCATAGAGATAATTTAAAAATACATTTATTAATGCAAAAAGTATTAGTGTTTAAAAATAAATTTCATATTAAAATTCTCATTTTATTCAAAGATTTTATTCTCTAATTTTTGTTCGTCCCCTTCCTTCCTTCCTCCCTTCTTTTTTTTTTTTTTTTTTTTTAAAGCATTAAACATTGCATCTGTAAATAAAAAAGTGTTTTGAATATAAATTTATTGTTTGTTCATCCATGAATGTGGCTGTTTATTATTCATGGAGAACGTTATGTAGATCTGATTCTCTGCTTTCTTGTCTTCCATCATAATTGTGCCATAACAGTTGAGCAATCAGTGTTGATAGATACAGAAGATGAGTGTGAATAGAGTAGTAAAATTTCATTTTGCACATCGACATTGTATTTTTCATAGATTTCGTTATTAGTAGGAAGCTCACATTCATTTGCAGTTTATAATAAGGATTTTGTTCTTCTCCATTTAAAAGCAATTTTGATGATGCTAAACAGAATTTTTATATGAAGAACACTAGGTATAAATGCCATAATTTACGATTCAATTTTGAATAGCATAATAATATTTGTGAAGCTAATAGTTTTCTGTACTTCATTTAAGTAGTGGCTCTGTTATCCCTCAGTGATTTGAAGATATGAATGGACACTGTACCAAAGCTTGCAGAAGTTTCAGGTTTGCCTCTTTTTAGTCATGTGAATGATCTTTAAAAGAAAACAAGCTTGAAACCATCCTTTCTGCCTCAATACCTAAAGCATAATTTCAGCATGGATGTGAAAAAGGCGGGCGTGTGAATTATTAGTATGGTGAACTTTTAGGAAAAAATTGTAAAAACTTAAAAAATGAAAAATATAGAAATTTTTTACATTCATTTAACTGGGATAAAATATTCATAAAGTTCTTTCCTTTTCTTCTTATCTATGCAAAATACGGATGCACACACACATATATGTATATATAAAGTAAAATTATTAAGAATATATGTGTCAATTAATTTGTGTGCATTATCTTTAAGAGGGCTCATGGTTTGAGGAATGAATCAAGTAACAGGGCTTTCAGACTGAGATAACTTTGGCACTGTGAGATAATTTAATAAGAGTAAATACAAAATTAAATGTTTATATATCCCATTAAAAAGAAAAAAACTTCTGTTAAAGCATTCCTTATTCCAAAAAAGATTATTTAAAAAAAAAAAAAAAAAATCTGTAATTTTGCGTAATTGATTGTAAAATAAAATCTTTTAAAACTTTATCGTTAACTACTTCTACCTGTAATGAAAAGTTACTCGTAGCAAGGACTGTAAAAATTTTTAAGTTTAGAAAAAATTATCAAATTTTAGCATTTCAGATAGTGAAAATTTTAAATCTCTATTAACCACTTCCCAGTTTTGCCCGAACGCTATACTTGGAAATGGCACTTTTTTTATTTTACCTGAGTGGGCAACATTTTTTTTCTAGTCTAATGCACTGATTTGCCCGAATTTTTTGCTTGCTTAGTGTGTAATGTTTCTAACAGATGGCGCTAGTAATCAAGTGAAGTTAGAATTGCAAAACAACTGGTTTCAAGGTTAGGTTTTACTTCTTTTACACAAGTAAAAGCGTGAAATTTCTTTTCACTAGCTCGGTGTTCCAGCTACTGCTAATACTATTTCTTTTAAATTTGGAGCTAAAATAAAAGAAGAAATGAATGATAATGAGCAGCTTATAACTGAAGATAACTCTGATATTGACTCAGATAGTGAATCTGAAATTTCACTAAATGATTCTGGAAGTAATGACAGTTTGTTGTCTGACTTCTCTAGTGATGAAACGGAAAGTTTAGGTAATCTAACGCAAAATTCGGAACATTTGTGAACTTGATATTAAAATAATCCTTCTTTCTTGATATTAATAATTCTTCTTTGGAATCGAACAGATATGTAATAAACAATAAAACATTTTAAATTCTGACATCTATTTTCGTAAAGTGTTCTTTCCAGTTCGCTTATTTGTTCGAAAAGAGCCAACTTTAAGGAAAAACGTGCTTTTTATGATGAAAATAAAAAGTTAGCATAAATCAATAAATTCAACGCTTGTAATAGTTTTGACTGCTGATTTGGGTTTATATAATGAATTTCTTCTTAAAAATTTTTATTAAAAATATGCTTATTTTTTTGTCATAATGTGACGAAAAAAAGAAACTGTTAAGTGGTTAGTGTATTTATCCTTTAGTGATACAAAACATATTTTTTCCAAAATTTGCGTATAAGTCCTTAAGTATATGGTCGTGTGTAGTATTGTTTACATACCATACACGAAATTTTAATTGATGACATTTCAGTAATTTTTGTCACAAGGAGTGAATTTTTTTGATTAATTGTCTGTGGACTTTTTTTTCTAATTAAGATTTAAAGAGACAATCCACAGACAAATTTTTCAAAAAAACGTTTTCTGTAGAATCCATATAAAACTTAAGTTTAACATACTTTTTAATAAAGTATAACTCAAGAGTATAACAAAGTATTCTTGATTGAAAGCTTGTTTACTGCATTTCTTGCTGGAACTCTTAGTCTGTGCTCAAGAGTTAGAAGTCCAGTCTTCTTGAAGTACAGTATATTGTCTGTCTACCCTAAGAATCCTTCCAACAGAATGTCCACACCTCTCTGTTGCCATCAAAACAAACTCTATTTTTCATACATGTGTCTTCAAAAAATGCATTGATGTATGCAGTGTTGATGCATTTGATGAGGAATTCGTGATATAAATTTCTTCATTTTTGTTTCAAGTGCAATACCTGTTGTAATATTATTGTCCTTCCTGTGGCCAACATTCATCAAAAACAAAATGGTAATACAGTGCAGCACCGCCTTTCAAGGAACCATTCACAAATGATTCATAAATGATTTCTCATTTACATATCAAATGGGTAGACAAATTTTAATTTAATTATGAAACATATAGATATTAACTTTACAATTTTGATACTACTAATCTGCTATTGATATTATACAATTTTATTATCATGCTTTCATTTTTGTAGAGTATTAGCTATGTTCAAACAAATTTAAAATTAATGTTTTGAATACATATTTAATTAATATTAATACTTTAAACAACTAAACAATTTTTTAAATTAATATTTAGGAAATGATATTAATCCAAATTTACTGTTTTTAAAATCGTAAAAATGCAAATTTCTGATCATAGTTATGTAAAATTGAAAAAAGAAAAGTAATACATTTTTGATTTATCAAATTCCAAGAACATTTTAAAGCAAATTTTTAACATCTTTTAAAGAAAAAGTCTTTTTTTAAGTGTTGTCTGACCTGTCTTTTGATTCTAAATCTTAAGCAAAATGTTATGAATCAGATTCAATTCTTGAAACATTTTTTCACTTGTGTTATTACATTCAAAGAAATCTGCGAAGGTATCAATGCAGTAGATAAAGAAAAAGAATTGATTTGTGAAAAGAATGTGGGATTATTTCTTCATTTTCTTCTTCATCCCTGCTATTTAAATGTTCATCTGATAAAATGTTTTCAGTCAGTTCTTCAGTTGTACAGAAGTCTGATGTCATTTTATTGGCATCACAGTTTATATGTTCCTTGATTGTAATGTCTAATCGAACTTATTTCCAGTCTTCTTCATCCATAATCACAATTTCACCATCAACATCTTTCATTTGAAGGTAGGTGGTCAAATTTTGTGGCTTTTGTCTCCTCACAGTTTTGTGTATTTTCTTAAGCCATTCTGAACAAATATCCATAGTCATCTGTGCTTTCTTATTTGCTTTATGTTCTAATGACATAGTTTTAATATGTTTGAAGAACCTTTTTTTGTGGCTTTCCTTTAATTAAAGGGGTCATTTTTTGCATTTGCACAAAGTAAAACACTGAGACATTTCTTTACTTTGCTTAACTCCATGACAGTGGTCACCTTTGAAAGGTGGAGGCAAAATTTTAAAGAAAACAGCAGTTTCATCCACATAAAAAATGCCTTTTAATTTATATCCATCTATTTCGATGGATAAATTCTTGAATAACTCTTCAACTGACTCACCAAGAACGCTTTTTGATTCTCCACTTATTGTAAGACATGAGATCACATGCCAACATTTAAATTTCTGTAGCCATCCAGTTGAAAAGCAGGCTTCATTCACATTCATTCAATTGAAACAGATTCTATTTTTATTTATTTTTATTTTTAATTTCTTTTTTTTTTTCAACTTTTTTCTTTCATCAACATTTGTTTTTAGTGTTGTAACAGTAATATCCATTTTCTTTGCTAAGTCAACTTTCCAGTGTTCAGCAAACCAGAATTCTCATATAATTATTTTAAGATTTAAATTTTATCCTTTAACAAGAGTGCTCTCACTTTCATAACATTTTGTATCAGGTAATTCTGCTCCACGTAGTTTACTTAACACAGTGTCCTGTTCAGAAGAAAACACTATAACTATCTTTCCTCCTAAATATCTCTTCTATTTTTTAACTGGTTTTCAATTTCTGCACCAGACTGTGATGTCTCATACCTTTGTTTCCTTCTCTTGACCCCATTTATGGGAGAAATATTTGAGTGATTGGGCTATGAAATGTTAAACCATTGGAACAAGTCAAACAAAAGCAATGTATAACCAAAATTATAAAAGAATTATTTTACAGTAAAAATAAATAGTACTGAATCAGCACCAAGATGAAACAACGTATAAATGTAAAAGGTGTATAAAAGAGAAACATATAAATGGTGCTTCAGTGTAATACTTTTATCTAGTTAAACCTTATTTGGAATGTATTTAGTCTGTTACTATAGTGAATGCCTCCAATTAGATATTCTGCAGAGAGTAAATCTCTTGGTAGACCAACAGTATAATATGTGTTTTGCATTTATTAATTCCTGAAATAAAAACAAATGACCATAGGTTAAGAATTACCTCATATGTTGTAATTTAAGTCTTTTTAGTTATTTATGAGAATGTAATTTTTAAGTGTTTCGTTTCTTTGCTAATGGTAGTTCATTCTTTGTCTTCAATAATTTAATGGATATTGCTCTTGATTCACTAAAATATTGTTTCTAAAGAAATACTTAAAATTGTACTGTACTGAAAGAAGACACATTTGCCTCTAAGTATGCTGTTGTTCCTAAATCTCAGTTTTTATTACTTTCTGCTTTCTACTTATAAATGAGAAAAAGTATATTTTTTACTGTAATCTCAAACTTTTCTGCAGAATGTTTCAATTTATGTTTACCTGGTTTTTATACTTTTCTCATTGCTAGTTGGGGCAAATACTGAATATCCAGGTAATATATACCAAAGAGTCACTGCATTATGACAACCCATTTGCCTACAGCAATGAGCTTGCTCAGAGACTATGGCACACACGTGGCTAATGTTGAGTATATAAAGAATTCATGTATTGTTTTTCAGCATGTAGAATGTTAGCGGCATAATGGAAAAGGCAGCTAATTCATCAGTTTTCAATAAAGGTCAAATCGGTTATGGTTCATCGCCTAGGAACATTGGTTTCAGAAACTTCACATTTGGTGAGCTGCTTGCATGCAGACATGAGTACTTACTGAAATTCGAGTGTGTGGGGTGAAATAACAAGTTGCCATCCACTAGTTTGTCGGCCACGGTGCATTAATTTCAGGAGAGCGGAGTCTGTTGTGTATTGTTCATCATGATCGAAGGGCTATGACCCCGAAATCATCAGCAACTACAACAGTGATGACACATATGGTGTGTTTCAACACACAGTGGAGTGTACATTGCTACATATGGACCTACACAGCTGCCTCCCAAATCACATTCCTGTGCTGACAGCACATCATTGCCAACAGCATCTGCATTGAACCAAGGAACATGGGCATTTGACCATGAAAGAGTGGAAGAAAGTCCCTTGGCTTGACAAATCATGTTTTCTGAGCAAATGCAATTATGCCAATTTCAATTGAAACCATGGCACCCAGGTGCAAAGTTGACTGGATACAAGGCAGTGGTCGCAGTATTATGGTATGAGTGATATTTTCATGGAACACATTAGGACCTATCATTTCCATAGAACAATCCATGATATCTTTCCACTATGTGAATATCATTGTAGACCAGGTGCACTCCTTCGTGTTAACAGTGTTCCCAGTGGTAATGGTGTTTACCAACAAGGTAATATACTATGTCATAAGTGTGTTGCCATACTACTACCTTGCAATGTGCGGGAACTGCATAACTATTTAATGAGATATAGTACCAGATGCCTCATATACCTATCAGCATCTTGTTAAGTCAGTGCCTTGCCAGGTGTTAGCGGTTTTGAGGGCCAAAGGTGATCATTCTTTATATTAAACAGGAGGCTGTAATTTTCAGTGCTAATGCAGTTTTAGAAAGTAATCGTTATTATTCATCATGAATAGGTATTGAAATTTTAAGATCTGTTAGAATTTTAATTCTAAACAAATTTCTGTAAAATATATTTGATAAAATGTTATGTTTGCTACTTTATATACCATTTTACTGATTTCCTTTTTTCCCCTTCTAAATTAAAAAGTATTATTAATTTCATTTGCAAAAGATTTGACTGTCATAGCAGCTTAGTTTCTTATTTGTGTATGCTTGTCTCCTAAATACAAATCTGTTTGTTTATATTTCAATTTACTAAGGGGTGTTATTTATGCAATATGTGCAATAAAGCAATAATAGTTTCGTATCTTGCATGAGTAATTTATAATATCTGACACTGATGGAGATAAAATAATGAAGATTTGTTTCAATTTTTAAGGCATAAAGGATTTTATTATGATTTAACCTAGTATAAATTTTATTTCTTAGATTTCAACAATGATGTAATTTTGGTACTGCCAGAGTTGCAAAATACAGCAACTGCATTCTTTTATCCATTTAAGAATCAATTGACACTGATACAAAAGAAGGCATTGTATGTTAGAGAAATAGTGTCCAGTTGTCATTAAAAATTGATTATGACAGTAGTTTATGAAGTAATCACATTATTTTGAAAATTGCTTATAAAAAGCAGCTACTGATTTTGTTCCACTAAGTTACAATCAAGCAGTTTACCACTTCACTGTTTTCCCCCAGATAGATACATCAATTTGAAAAGTTATAAAAGTTGAAAGTTAGACACATCAATTGAAGCATTAGCAATGACTGACAATCATCAGGGTTAATGTGACCTGGATTGTTAACCCCAAGAGATGCTCATTTCCGATTCCCCTGTGATGCAGTGAAAATGAAAACAGGTAATTGATAGCTTAATTGGTCATGTTTTCTGGACAGCAGCATTGTATCAGGATCATACAATGGAAAGTTCATTTAAAAAGACAGAAAATGGAAATGTAGTTATGGACCTCTTTCAGTTGGCCTTTCTATGAAATTACTACTCATTTGAAAACATGCATTTAGAGAGGGTTGTCTCTGTTAACTTTAAAGAAAGAGATTAAGGAACATAAAATAATTTTTCACTCTTGAATAGGGAGACAATACTCAACATCCTTGAATGTGACAAGTATTCAGTTTTCTAAATTGGTCTTGATAGCTGGAGGGGAAAAAACATTTCTGAAATCACTTTGAGATGCAAAAATTGTTTCTTTAGAGGGGGAAAAAAGGAAGTAAATATTTAAGCCTGTAGGATAGTGAAGTGGCTAATTAACTTTGGAAATTATGTTCACAGAAGAAAGTAAGATATGTATAAGCTATAATTTGTTTTTTAAAAGTATATTTTTTCTTTTTTGTTTTATGGAAATATTGTAATTATTTTTGTAAAGACATATTCAGATGTAATAAAAATTTGTGTAAAGGCATTTTCCTCCCACTTTAACTGGTTATTAGATACAGTTTAAAGTGCTATGATTAATAGAATAGAAAATGTGCTGCTTAAAAACTAACCTTTTCAATTGAAATTCTTTACTTTTCAAGAATATTTTAAAGGTTGAAACCATGCATTATTTATTTCTTACATAAAGGAAATAGCATTATGACACAGTAGACAGTGTTGCCAACTCATGCCTCAAACAAGTAGCTTCATCTTTGAAAAAGAATTCACTGTTTGTTGAGCAGTCATAAGGAAAATTTATATTTTGCAGCTTAAGACTTATATTAGCAATTTCATGAAAATTATTGAAAAAAGAATTACAATTTCAAAAAATAAAGTAGAAATAAATAAATAAATGAATAAAAATCAATTTGAAAATTTCTGATTACAGTCTAACAGCTTAAAAAAATTACCATTAGATTTGTAATGTTAAAAAAATAAAATAAAATAAAATAATTTAAAGAATTCGCAATTTGATCTTGGTATGAAAATTTCAGTTTAACACCTGAAAAAAATTAAATAAGCAGTTATAACAGGTCTTAATAGACCTGTTATAGTTTCTGGAAATATAGATTAGTTTCTGGAAAACTAATGTTTTCCAGAAAATTAAAAATGCATAATATTCAAATCTTAGACTTAAAAATTGTCTGTTCAGAAAAGCAGATCCAAATGGTATAAAAAGATTTTTTTCATTGTAAAATGAGGTATGCACATATATTTCCTGTAAGTGCCATTACTTTGCATTTTGCCTGGACACAAAATGTATGAACTGGAAACAGAAAGTACCTCAGTTTACCTTTGAAATGTTTAATAAAAATAAAACAATTATTATATAGTTGAAATAAGCAATATATTATGTTTTTAAACTGATATTAATTTTCATAAATGAATCCATATCTGACAATGTTAGGATATCTTTGCGTGAAAACAAGATTTCCACTGAAGAATGTGGCATTTGATACATTTTATTTATTGTATATACTACAGTTTTCTTCCCTTATATTTTAATTTGCTTATTGTTCTTACAAATTTACTTTTCTAATAATAAATTTTGATAACTGCATGTTATTTTTCTTCATCAGCTTAACTGAAAGGAAGAAACAGTGGGAACTTGAGAAAGAGAAGCAGATAAAACTAATGGAAGAAGCTAGCATACCTCCTGGTCATACTTTACTACCTGATGAAGAAAGACTGGAAACTTTAGAATTATTAAAAAAGAGTAATATATATTTTATAATTATATTCAAATTATTAAATGTATTATATTGTGCATGATATCTTATTAATTATCCTCTTATTACTGTGCATGATATCCTTTTAATTTAATTATTATTCACAAGCATGATTAGGCTGTCATGAAGAGTTGTATATTTATACGTATCTCCCTTTAGTATTAAACAGATGTAAGATCTTTAATAGCATTTAATTTTTTTCAAGTTGTTGTTGGCATTATACAGATCTGTTGCAAGGAATAGATATTCATTTAAACAAATATATTTCAATAGATAGTTTTGAAACTTAAATGTTCTTCTATAAAAGAAGAGTGTGCTTTATAAAAATATTTAGTGAAGATTATTTAAGGCAATTTTCAGTTTACATTTCCTTTTGTTGTGACTCAAAAAAATAGAACTGACATGATTTATAATTTTGGTATTCATGTAGTGTGCAGTCTTCCACATTTAATTAGTTATTGATTTCTGAACTAGTGCCTTTAAATAATTTTAAATGTGTGAAACTGAAAAGATTAAAATAATTTGTGATTTTAAGTAGATTTTAATTATTTTACAAGTAAAATTATTTAAATGAGCCATGTGCAATATAAGAAAATGTGTCACTTCCATGTTCATCTAGTCTCAAATGTTAATCTGAGAATGGATGCACTGATTTAAAATATATAGTGCATGATATAAGTAAAATTATGTTGTAAAAAAATGATCTTATCAAAAATTTAAAATAGGCCATCCCATCAAGTGCAGAATTTTCTTCTGCTACAAATGTATCATTCCTTAGAGTAAGAAACTTCATTTCGTTAAATTGATGTACCCAGGATATAAGCCTCCATTTGAAAGTGATTTAAGTGGTAAATTATTAAATAATATGTACAAACAACAAATGGAGAAAGTAGAAATGTTTTAGCTACTCAAACAATATATATAATGGTCTTATATATGTATAAATGGTCTTTACATCTACAGTCGTCCAATAATCTCTTTGTGCGTTTGTATAATAAATGGAACAGTGCATTTAATGTGAACTATTAATACAACACTAATACCAGATACAAGTGAAAATTTACTTTGCTGTTGATGCCATTAAATTTTTGAAAACAAATTTAAATATAAAATTCATCTTTTCACAGCTGGCAAGTATGACAAAATAAGAAAAAAAACTGGGAAAGAGTTTTCAGCTTATATCTTAAGATTCTTCAGCATATATATTTTTTACTGATTAAATATGTAACATATATTAAATGATATTGAAGATGTTATTTAACTCACAAAATATTTTCAAAATTTTGAACTTGCATGTGCCACATTAAATGAATACAATGAAATTGGTTTAGCCATACCATCTGAAATATGCTAGAATTCAAGTACATTACTCTTTCCAAAGCAGTATAAAGAACTGGTTGATTTTCATGCAAATTGGGGAAGAGATTCGGGTAAAAATATAGTGAAAGTTTATAATTAGGTGTCTCTTTTTTTTTTTTCATTGTTCCTTTTTGATGGCAAAATTGACACCAGCAAGGCACAATTTCAAGACGCCCACTACACAAAAGCAAAATAACAAGCCAAAGAATTGCACGTATTAGTTGTCCATGTACACGTCGATCTATTTTCACTTTAAAAAAATCATAGAATTGCGCAAGCTCGGCATTGCGCACTGCCTTTATTCTTGTCCATGTACACATCGATCAATTTTCACTTTAAAAAAAAAATCAGGAGAATGATGACGTCATATAATGTTAAAAAAAAGTTATTCATCGCCAAAATTGAACAAAATTTGTCGCCAATTGAAGGAGCATCCAATTCTACATTAGAACCAAAGAAAAATATGTAATCTCAATAAACTGCATTTTAAATCAAACAAATTGTTAACATAAAAAAGGAAATACATGTTATTTCATATATGCACTGCAAAAAGGAAATATCGACTTGCCTTATTTAGAAATTTTTGTGTCTTCAGTCTGTGGCACACAAGATTCCTTAACAGCACACAAAAATTTTTTTTTAAATTATCTGAACTAGAATATGCATACTGCCATCGGCACATAAATTCACAAAAAATAAAGAGTAAAAAATATCCTCCATGGTGCTGGACTGTCGGTGGCATTTCTTTTGAAAAAAATCCCTTTTAATCACACTCCACATACTTACAATAGTGTTGATATGAGCACTGTTTCCAGATCCTTAAATGTCAATGCATGATTTACTAAGAAGTGAACAAAACCGTTATTAAAAAGACAATAGTACAATTTCGAGCAGTTGGATATGATCATTGCTCCAGGTAAAATAGTCCTTTGAATTGCACTCAACAAAGTTTCTTTTCTTCAGTCCTCCACTTTAAAACACCTTCCTCTCTCTCGTTCTGTACCATCAAACACCCAGTTTACCACCGGTAGCCATTTTACGATGTAAAGCACAAAATACGCAATGTACTACCTAACTGACATCCAACGCAGAAATAAGCCCTTGAAAAATTTTCCCGTTAATCAAATTCACCATAATCATGCAACCAATCACGTCATAATAGGATTTTCATAATATTCAACTACTCAGGTTACCATAAATGAAACAACAGCTTGGTGATAATCAAAGAGGCACCCTAAAATATAGACTAACCGAGATTTGAAATGCACTGTTCAAGAATATTCAATCAAAATTTCTTAACATGGTAGTCATACAAAATGTGAAAGATCTCATGTAATTAATCCAGTGTAAATTAAACCAGTTGAATATACCCAGGAGTTCATATCTGGAATGGGGTCCTTAAGTATGGAACTGCAAATTTTATTGACAGAAGAGGAAATCACCCAAAAGTTTAATTTCTGTAAAATATATGCAATTTCATAACTAATATGTGAAAAGAAAGGAATGACAACAGAATTCTTATCTCCGAATTTTTTATATGTTGAATGAGAATTTTTTAACCACTTGATTAGTAATGTTTGCTGAAAATGACTTATCTTTAATTGTTAATTATTATATTAATTTACATGTAAAAAGTGTAATATGCTTCTTAGTAATATCTAATAAGAATAATTACTTTGAAAACCTTCAATGCATGATAACAGTTTAATAAGTTAATGAAGAAAAATAATTGATTTAAATTAAAAAAAATTCAATATTTTTAAATTTAAAATTGTGTGTTCTCAGATTTATATGCACTTTGTGTTCATGATTCAAACACTTACATAATTTGTACATGTATTAATATATAGTAAAGTAACTGGTTATGTTAATGACTAGAGTTGCCTGCAGTTGAGTATATTTAGGGCATTTACTATTTATCAGCACCCACACTGAAAAGTCACAAACTTCTTGACAACTTTGGAGAGCATTCGTGAACATGATGACTAATCTTTTGTCAACCTAATGCATGAAAGGCTGCAGCCATTTTCATAATGGCAGTGCATTAAGAATTTCATACAAAGCAATGGGTCAATAAAATTAAAAAAAAGCAAGAAACATCGGTAATAAAATATCTACATTTTTTTAAAAGCCTTCTTTTTTGTGCCATTTTTCTTCCCATGTAAACTTTTATTTAAAATCTGCCAGAGAATTTCACAAACTCACCATCCGTACAACCTTCTTGTTGCAGATTGGCCAAAAGAGATTTTGTTCAGATTTGGATTGCCACCTAACTGCTTTTTGACAAAATACTGCTTTGCCTCAGGAATATTTTTTTTATTTCTCGAAATTTTTAATAGCCAATGAGGGGACTGTAAACCAAAGAATTTTTCCTTTAAAATTAAACTTCCAACATGGAATAAGTAATTCTTCACTTCTAGTTCTATTGCTACTTCATCTCTCTTGAAAATTAGGTTTTTAATATTGTAATGATGCCAATTTAGTTCTTGTAAAACAAGTGCCTCTTGTGCCAAGTTATTTTTTGTTGACGAATGAAAAATTTGTGTCAACCTTGAATAAAAAGGAATATTTTTAATTTGGCCACATCTGCAAGTTCTTCATTATGCATCTACAATGTTAAAAACTTTTCTACATGATTTTACATATATATCAAATGTAAAATAAATAAAAATTTATTTAACTCATCATTATTATTATTTTTATTTTAGTTTATTTTCATTATTATTCCACTTGTTGCTGATTTCTGCACACAATTGTATTAGATTTTGAAATTTCTTTTTGCTTTGCATTTTTTCATTATATAGTATATATAATAAATCTGTGGTTTGATGACATGGCATGAATGATTTGATTATGAATGTAGCACAAACTTGCATTAAATTTTTCAGTGAAACAGGAGTTTTCCCATGATTCACTGTAAACATCGAATAACAAACCCGTGTTGATTTCTTCATTATTAGAACTGGCCCAAAAATGTAACGACAGAACAATTTTTGGAAAGCACTGAATGTAAGAACACTGAGATGTAGATGCATAGAAATGCTGATTGTGAATATACTTTATGCTTAAAACGTCCATCCATTTTGAAGAAGAAACAGTCGAGCCAGATAAAATTTCGTATTTATTTAAATTCACATTGGTGGCCACAATTCACTTAACACTCCAATGATTCCCACTTCAGAACATTCACAATTTTGATACTATACTGGTAGAAGCTATCATAGCAGCACAAACATGATTGCTAAAAAGTGTTTTAACAGGATGAAAGCTTGAGTGGAAAAATGAAGAGCATGGCAGTAGTAATGCACAAGAATAGGGGTGGAGTCAAAGAATTTTAGTTTTATGTTTTGGTTTACAATTTGGTGATTGGCCAAGAGGCATCTGCATTAAGCATTACGTAAAATCACATGATTAATTTGAATGACGCACTTTAGATTTATAGTGCTGTTTCTAAAACATAGAGATGAAGTTCCCAAATGAAATAAAAATAAAAGAGGTTATAGTGAATTTAGAAGTTTGCTTTCATATTTTTTTATCTTTATATATTGAGAGTGATAGTCTGGCAATTTGGTAAGTGATCTGCACAGATCTTTTTTAGAGGATAAATTTATGTTTCGGATTTTTAGTTTTCCCAAGTAACTGCTAGCTGCTGTGAATTTCGTAAAACTTCAAACTTAACAGGTTATATCTGTAGTAGAAACAAATAAAATGTGGTACTTTCTTATTTATATGAACATGTATTCAAAAAGTATGAAAGAGTGTTATTCAGGCAATACACAATGTTGCTAAAATGTATTTGTGATATAGCATATGTGTATTTCTGTATAAGCAGTTTGCACTTTTGAAATTCACTGGCCTTTTTTTGAATAGTATTTAATTTTTCATTGAATACATTTGTTTTTGTCATAACAAATGATAATGGGACTATTGAGTTTACCATCTCATGAAATAGCATTCTTCAGAAATGCGGAATTTTGCCTGCAGCATTTGTAGTTGTGATGTAAAAGGCACAACCACTGTTGATTTTAGGCTGTAATGTAAATTTCTGCATGTTTGTGCATATACATTTCTTCAAAATAGATTAAAAAGGCATACAGCACAATAATATCCTGAAATATATTAAAAAAAAAATTATATTGATTGTTTTATTGCATGGAAATGCTTTAGTTTGTTTCGTAGCGTAAATTATTTTGGGGCTTCTGAATACGTTCTTGTTTAACTGTCCTAAGACTAGTCCTGGCCCACATACTAATATACATTTTGATGCATAAGAAAAATTTAGATTGTTAAGTACAAGTAATTCAAGTTATTCAGTATTTAATTGGATTTTATTATTAAGTCCTGTGTTGTCAATTAAGTTTTAGCTGCAAGCTAAGTACTGTACCACAATAACTTATAGAGGTGATATATTTTGCTTTTAAAACCCCTTTCTGTAAAATATATCAATCATATATATTTACCCTAATAAGTTAATTTATCACATATTCCTTAACTTTTACATTTTTTTTGGAAGGAGGGGGGACATAATTAATCAGTTGTTTGTAGTATTTATAATACTCACTTTTTATTCTTATAAATCTTTACCATATAAAGCTCATCACTTGCAAGTGCCCCTTTCTTGTACAACATCTTAAAAAGTGTTAGTTTATGTTGTACAAGAAACTGTCTATATTCTGATTGAATTGGTAATTTATTTCCCTATCGAAATGAATGAAACTTTTCTTTTCCTTTCTTTTTTTTGTATAAGAAGTAATTGATTGAATTTTTCGTCTTTGTTTTGAATTGATTAAATTAATTTTTAGGTAAAAAATTTTCATTGGAAATTCCTTAAAATTTATCAAGGTTGTTTTACAGTATTAATAATATATGAAAGATATATACTTGACCTAAAAAATTAAGTAAATTCAGCATCTCATATTAGTTTTTTAGAAACTAATACAGAACAACAACCTCATGTTTGACAGAGATTTAATTAAATTAAAATCTATGCCAAGCACAAGGTTGTTGTTATGCCTAATTTTACATTTTACTTTAATGTTTTTCTTCTCTCTTGATTTTTGAAGTTTTGTTTTGAAACATTTAAAGGGAATCCTGTAGTCTTCTAACTTTGTCATAAAGCAAAAGAATTTTGATACTCTTAAATAAGGATTAAAAATAGTAATTATTCATTTTTAATATAAGTTTGCTTAATTTACTTACTGGTAACTAAAAGTAATTTTTTCTTTTTGTATGCATGGAAGTTCATAAAAAACATTTTATAGTCTAAAGTTTTAAAAATACTGCTAATGAAGTATGTGAATTCTGTTTTAAATTATCATATTTTTATATTTAGATGAAGAAGAGCTGATTCGAAGTCTTTGTGCACTTCCTGTTAGAAATGATACAATTAGATTAAGAAATTATAAAGAAGAACTCGAGCGTCAGTTAGCTAAAGTAGAAGAGGGAATAAAAATATTTTCTAGGCCAAAAGTTTTGATAAAGAATGATACGTAAAATCAGCATTAATGGCTGTATATTTCAGTCAGCTTTTTAATAGTGATATTTTGCGTGATTTTCATGCAGTGGATATACTAAAATGATTGTGTATGAAACTATATAGGAATGTTTTTTGTTACTTTCATTAATAGTCACATTCATTTTAAGACCATGTACTTTTTCTTCTTACACACTTTTATTTACATTTAGGACTGTTTACTGTTTTAAAATGTTTGTTGACCTTCTGTTCTATGATATGTTGAAACTTCTGTTCTGTATTATTTAAAAGATATTGCTATTTATTTTTAACTATTTGTTTATTCAAGCTGTGTTTTTATATTATGCCAAACAATACTTGTTTGTCATTATGTAATAGTATCAACAATTATCTTAACTCCTTGCAATCTATGTCAAATGTTCACTTAATTGTTGAATTGCTATTAAGTAACTGTTACAAATACAAAAGTGCAGTTATTGATGAAATTTGAACAAATTAATAAAGAATGTTTCTATGTAGTATAAAAGACTGACTGTTAAAAATTTTACTTTTTGAAGGTTTAATATTTTGATGCCAGCTTTAAAATTTCCTGTATTGAGTAAATATTGGTAAACTGTCCTGCATCTTCCTTTCTTTTTTCTTTTCTTCTCCATTTCCTCTTCTACATTAATTACTCAACTTATAATTCAGTGATTTAAAAACTCACCGGTTTAGCCTTAAGATGTTTATTATTTTATTCATTTATTTATTTTTTGGTAGTTTAGCTTTTTTTTTTTAAAACACGTTTAGTTCTTATGACTCTGTTTTCTTTAAATTCCAGGGGGGTTATTGTAGCAAAATAAATTTAGGAAGAATGGAAACTGGAAAGAATATTTGTTAATATTATTATTTTCCCATGTAATAGAACTTTAAAGAATATTTTCCATCTTAGCCAAAACAAACAACAACAACAAAATGTTTCAAAATAAAGTTGGAAAAGTTATATTTTTTTTTGGAGGTATGCAGTATTTGTGGATTTGAAATTAGCTGATAAAGATGGAAAAACTTATAATGGTACTTTTCCGTTTCGCCGGCGCAAATCTTGCCAAGCAGCTTTTATTGGTGACAACATACAGTATACACATAAAAAGTTTTAGTTCTAAGAATTGTTCATTTTGAAGGCATAAACATTTTAATAGCGTTTAAAATTTTGTAAAAAGCCAATAAATAAAGACAATTAATTTGTAAAAGGACTTAAGAATTTACTATGCTTTCATGGTTCAATATCCTGATTCGCCGGTTCATATCACATGACCCCTAGTGTTATATCTCGTGTTAACTACACTACAAAAATCTAATTCTCTCAGTAATTCTCTACATTAATTTAAATCTTAATTTGGAATAAAAGTTTTAAATGCAAGAATTATTTCAATTCATACGAATAGCTTCCTCAGAAATTCTTTAAAACCGCAGTGCATTCTCATTAGAATTGATGAATTTAATCCTTGACTTTTAATTTTCTATATTTTCGTCTTCGGGTGAGCGATGCGATTGCATCCTGATTAAACTCAATTACCACGAATGGCCTTAGGGCATAAAATTGAACTATCTGATAAAAATTCTATTATTGTATGCCAGTATTGAAAGAAACAATCAATCTAATAAGAAATGGCTGCTAGGCTGCTATTTGTTTTGAAAATGAGGCATAAAAGGTTACCAGCGAGGATTTTCTGTTTGGCATCAGTTGTGCCATTATTGGTAACCTTTATTGTGTGCACAGGCAAAACAGAAAAGTACCCTTATTACGTATTTAAGTCAAAAAAAGAAAAGTGTAAATCATATTTACCAATCTGAGCTCATTTTTTTTATGCTCGGTATAATTAAAATATTTTAAAGTTTTTAGCTAATTTCAAGAAATAATCCACTATTCTCTTCTCTGAAAGATATGTAGTTTTTACAAATCATTTTTGTAAAGTTTTTTTATTTTTTTCTGAAGTTTTAAAATGTTTTTATATTAAACAGTCATTTGTTGGATTATTACAGATAGATGCTACCTATTCATTTGAAAAAAATCCATGGTGGGATTTTATGAAGTAGTATAATAAATCAAATGGTGGTTATAAAATGCTCCTTTTTGAGCTGTTTTGATGCATGCTATCTAGAAATTATAATTGTCATTTAGTATCTTTGTATATATATTAATCTGCATATAAAATAGATGAAAATTAGAGGAGTTTGGAGACTTTTGTCCCATTTCTTCAGCTCTAATTTGAATGTCACAATCTTTCTTTTCTCTGATTATATTATTTTTATGGAGAGCTTTAAGAAATTCATATGAAATGTTAAATAATTAATACGCAGAATATTTTTGGCCTTATTTCAACAAGTTTATTTTAAGATGCTATCCTTTATAAACATTTCAGTTTTCTTAAGTTGTGTTAGTTTAAATAAAAATTAAAAATTGTTAAGTGTATTGACATGTAAAGCATATGCAGTAATGTTTATAATTTTTAGCTATGTTTATAAATGTATAATATTATGTATTTATACAAATTACCAATTGTGTTGAGTATTTAGAGAATTAGCACTATTTCTTTAAATTTGTTTCAATCATTTTTAACCTCTGTGATTTTAAAGCAAGGATTTTTAGCTGTTTTATAAATTGTAATTTTTTATTTATAATCATTGTTTATTTTCAATATTTAATGTTTTGAAATTTTCTGGATAAATCTTGCAAACTTCTTTGGTGATATTGCATGCATTTATTTTATAGCATTTATATATACGAGAGTTATGAAATGAAAAATCCTATAATTTGAGTTTTATCTGTAGTTTTTATATGCTACTTAATATTTAAATTAGTTGACAGTAAAATATTTCTGTGATACTTTTGCTGAATAAACTGAAGTTGATGAACTTAATATTGTAAGATCTATTGAACTTCAAAGATATTGTACCCAATATTCACCTCTGTTTGCTTTCTTGTATTAGTATTGTAATATGCATGAATAATTCACAGACCAAGAAAAAGTGAAAACAGAGAGAAATGTAAAATTTCTATTTTATGCCTTAAGAATAATTTGGTTTAAAATTCTATAAGAACAGTTTAGGTACTAATTAAAATTTATTTAATGTTAAAAAGGGATGTTACAAAATGTTTTGTGAACTCTGAATATTTTTGTATATAGTGTTTTATTTATATAAAATGTTATTGCTGAAAGTCTAGCATTTGTAATGTTTTTAAAACTTGTGTATTTATTAGTAATAAATATGTTTTGTGTTGTTTAGCATTTAACTTAGTCTGTAATAAAATGAGAAGAGATTTTAAAAATTTGTATGCTGAATTTTCTAAATGTTTTCTTATAATGAAATTAGAACAATATATGTATATATATATATACACAGATGGAGGACAAAATAATGAGAACACTGAAAAAGGTATGACGTATTTCACACCTGCAACAGAAATCTGCCATCTAGTGAGTGTGAAGAGGAAGGTATCAGTCCCTCAACAGCAGTCACCTGCGTTGCATGCTTTGATAAAACTGCTATGGGAAGTTGAAATGTCTGACCTGTCAGAGTTCCAAAGAGGAATGATAGTTGGAGTGCGTTTAAGTTGAGAATCGGTTACGGAAACAGCAAACCTTGTGGGGTGTTCAAGGAGTACAGTATCAGCCGTTATGACAGCATACACAAAAGAGGGTAAGACAACGTCTTCAAAGCACAGCAGTGGCCGAAAATCAAACCTGGCGGATAGGGATAGACGGGTCTTGAAGCGCATAGTAGCCCAAGAGCACAAGCAATCGTTATCTGAGATAACATCCAAAATGAATAGTCATCTCCAGGATCCCATTTCAACAAAAACTGTCAAAAGGGAACTTCATGCTGCGAACATTTATGGCAGAGTGGCAATTCGTAAACCCTTGGTAAAAGCAACTAATACTTTCAAGCGACGCCAATGGTGCAGAGATCACAAAGGCTGATTCCTACTGCAGTGACAACAGGTAATATGGTCAGATGAATCGTCATTCACCTTATTTCAGAGGATCAGACGTGTTTATGCCTGGAGAACACACAAAAAAGCGTTTCATCCTGACTTCCTCTTGATGTTATGGGGTGCAATATCTTGGTGGGGCCTTTGGCCACTTTTTATTCTGCATAGGAGGATCACACCCAATCACTATCTAAGCATTCTAGGGGATCATGTCCATCTTTTTGTCCAGATTGCATTAACTGGGGAGCGAATGCTTTTTCAAAACAACAATGCCCCTATCCACACTGCTAGGTGTATTCAAGAATGGTTCGAAGAGCATGACGATGCAATTAAACAGCTCGCTTGGCCCTCTCAGTCTCCAGACTTGAATATTATTGAACATTTATGGGCATATTTATAGTCCAGACATCGTTCCCGATTTCCACATCCGACTGGAGTTTAGGAATTAGAGATTGCTCTGCAGGAGGAATAGCTTAATAATCCTTTAAATATTGTCCATGACCTTTATGCATCTATCCCACATTGCATTCAATCTGTACTTCAGTCAAAGGGTGGTCCAACCCCCTATTAATAAAGATTTTCCATTATTTCACAGGTGTTCATATTATTTTGTCCTCCATCTGTGTATATATATATTTCTACTCATCTGTTGTCATGCTATTTCAACCGGCATTCTACTCATCTGTTGTCATGCAATTTTAACCGGCAACATTCTCCATGGTTTATTGAGAAATTTTAATGACCCAGTATTGGCCCAAAAGTTTCTGTTTAATTTGTCATGCAGTTATGCATTTTTACTATCCTTTGTAAAGACTGTCAGTAACATCAAATCATTGTTGTGGATATTTGCAGTTCTGTTACTGAAAAGCTATTTGAGATAGCAAATGGTATTGTGTAGTGTTAAGTCATCTTGATTGTATCTCAGCTGTGATCATTGTTGAATGGGAATTTCGAAGTGACATGGTAATTAACATATTTTTACTGCATTCGGCTAAAATCAACAAGTATTATGTGAAGTATGCTGGAGATTTCTTTGCCAGCGTAGTCTTGAAATCTTTCACCAATCAGTTGAACATTATTTTTTATTGAGTAAATGCTGTTTATTGTCCTTGCAATGAAAATGAACTTGAAACTGTGGTCAATACCACAATATACAGTAGTTAAGACATTTGTAGCACTTGTTGAATCATGCTAACTCAGCATGACATGAAGGCAGTACTACTTGCTAAATTCCCTGTACATACAGCAACTGCAATTATTATTTTTTACATTGATTTTTGCAGAGTATAGTTCTTTATCTATACACCAAATTTCACATAAATTTAATTTTTTTAAAAAATTGTGTTTCATTTTTCTCAGTGGAATAATTTATCTACTTTCCTTAGCTTTTTATATCTTCCTTCTTTGTACCATTTTGAGCTCAGATACACAGGTACAAAAGTTTTGCACCTGATAATTTAACTGCTAACCGTCCTGCCGAATGTCCAGAACAGGCTAACATAAGAAACTACGGATATCACTTTTCCATTCTTAGACAATTAATTTTGGCATTTGAGAGTATTGCGAACATTTCTTTCCTTCTCCTGCTTCATAAATCTGACTTCTCCCTTGTAGCATTTGAATCACTGGCATTGGGAGCACCAAAGAGGGATTCAAACCAGTGAAAGAGATGAAGATGTTAAAAGGTGATAGGAAAGGTGTTGCTGCCATGTTTTGAATAATTATGTATCTCAATAATGCTGGATTTATATGCATTGTGTTTAGAATGTAACTAAATTGTATTCGTGATGTAAAAGGGCTTCAAATCCATTTATCCATCTAACAACTTTAATTTATAGTTTTATTATTCTTTGCTTATGATTCTAAACTATGAATGACATGCTTCTGATGGAGATTTAATCATATAAAGCATGGTTGTGAATTTCAGGTTTTTAATACCTTGATTATATCACATAATTGGATACAAAGGCTGTAAATTATGGGAATATATTTTTATTAGAAATTTTCTTCTAACATGCGATACATGTATTTATGTTTACTAATTGTTGCATTCATTCATTTCACTATTAGCAAGAGATGATTTCAGGTACTTTTCCTTTATAGCATGGTAAGCTTTAATTCTTACTTTGTTATGTTCCTGAAACGAAACAAAATAAATATATGCTTTATAAAAAATAAATAAATAAATAAAATAAATAAAATTAAAAAATAAAGGATTATACCTATCAATATTATTATTTTGAATTATCTAAAACTCAATTCCATTTATGTACCTTAAATTATAGAATTTGCCAAGATACATATTTACTACCGTTGTGATGGAATTTAAAAAAAAAAAAGCACTACTTTTTATCTTTGTGATAAAAATTCTTTTAAATTAATGATAGCAAAAGTTTTATTAGTATTATTAAAGTTCATTAGGATTGGAAGCGGGCTGGAATTCATGAGCACTTTGCATCTGAAGACATCATCTTTATATCAGTAGTAGATGCTTATGAAATGGCTGATATAGTACAAAGAACCCTTACATCGGAGGGTTATAGGCTGCCATACTCAGATATAAGTGTCTAAGTAGTCAGTATTCCCCAAACATCGTACATTGGCTTTGGCGATGGACTGTTAATGATCAAAATAATATGCTTGAGATCATTCCTATGTTCCAAATTTGCAATAAAACAGTTGCACAGCTATCACATTGACATTTTAGTGTATCATCATGTCCAGATCAACCATTTATTGGCAGCTACACGAAATTGGCATGTATGTAAGGTGGACTTCATTATTCTTTCATTTAATTCAAGGCTGAGGCAAATGCACAGAACATGTTACCGAACAACGTACTTGGATCTTCCAATGGAACAATGTACTTTTTACAGAAGAGTCCTTTTTATGCCTAGAAAATTATTTATAATGTGTATAATTAAGCAAACCCCCAATGATGAGTTGTAACCCAGGTTACATCATCATAAATAAGAATCGTAATGGAGGTGTATGAGAATTTGTTTGGAGTAGTATAATTTCAGGGTTATTGTTACTTGTACATCTGCATGATAGTTCTGTAACTGGTGATGTGTATAAGGATGCCATACTGCATCAGTATTTGAGGCTTTTTAAGGGTATATTTGGCTCGGAGGTTTAATGGACAGTAATGTGTGCCCTTACATGACTAGTTTGATCGGCAGTACTTGAAATCCGAAAGTACAATAGCTGTGTACTGTCAAGCCCATTTATTTCACTGAACATGCATACAGCATGCTTGTTCATGGGATTGCAGTACATAATCCTCTCTTTGCCAACTCCTAAACAAGGTAGGATAGTGCTTAGTTAAAAATGTGATCCTAATCCGAGGTTATTATTGGATAACGGCATCAATAACATGCTCCTGGACAGCATGCTATTGATATTTCTGTGTAGTCAATAAATTTGAGGGTGGTATGCATGACAAAAGAAGTGTCACATTAAACATTTTATAGCCGTACACCCTCCCCAATGGGTTATGTGTATTCAGATGTTAAGATTTCTTTTTAATCTGTCTATATTCTCTTCCTTACAATTGTATCAGGCAAAACTATCCTAAAAGCAGTAACTTTTGAGCATATAAAGGGTGAATTAGGCGATTATGAAAGTTTAATAATTATTACAAGCTATATTAATATAACATTATGTGAAGCTTTTCACGTAGACTATAGTATATACTATTTTTATATAAACTGTAACCATTTAATCAGCAAGGTGCATAAAAACAAATAGACTGGGTCTGTCATTTCCTGCTGTGCAGTAAGCAAATTTTAGATCTCCATAGTAAATTAAATTCCTTTGAGTTTTATTTAATGCAGTGAACACATTGGACATGTATGTCCCAGCCCCCATTAAAAGGTTATAGGGAAGTATATAATTTACAATTATTTACGATTCATACATATATCAGACAACAACTTCGGTTGCTATTTAAAAATAAGATCAATCAGAATGAATACGTTCATTTCTTCTATATTGTTAGTTTCTAGTGCTCATTATTCATCTCAGCTTTCAATACAGTGACATGAATTTGAACTTCCTAGATGCGTTACTTCATGGTTGTTATTGATGTTGAAAGATATACACTTTCAAGTATTCTAAAAGGAACGCAACAGTTGGAGACAGGTTTAGTGCTCAGATGTAACTAAGTGTGGCTCGTTCTATCTACTGTATTTTGTTCAAAAACTATCTACTGTATGTTGTTGCAAAATTTTCCCTTTCACTTATGCATCCTCTGCATGTTGTTCAAGAACTGACAACATTTCAGTATTAGATGAAGTTTCTGATCTTACGTAAACTTTGTAATATTTTTTATCCTAAAAAGTACCGAGATCGATTCCAATAAATCGCCGTATTATGGTTCAAATCAGAAAAATGCATATGTAGACAACGGAAAATTATTGATTTATTTATTTTACCAACAGCATGTATTTCCTCTTGTATTACACAGTTCACGTCAATATCCAGATGAGGTTGTGCTCATTATCACTTTCTCTGTTTATTTTTCCTCTGTTTGTTTTGGGTGTCCATCGGCAGATGTTATCCTTCCAGAAACTACTAATTTATATACACAAAAGGTTGAAATAAATCTGAAGAGTTAAAGGCCTTTCATTTTTTAAGCATTGAGTTTGCTACAGTGTTCAAATGCAGTAAAGTTATTTGGAATTACTCAAACTCGTATTTCAGAAGCCGCGTTCATAGTCCCATTTTGAAACTGTACATTCTTGATTGCCTGTAAAAGAGGGATTAGTGGTAATGGAATCTTCTTATGTGCAAGGTTTTCCTTAAAACACTAGGTATTATATATCGAAAAGCCCAGATTTTTCACACAAGTTCTTTCAAACGTTAAAGAAAAATTATTTGGCCAAGTTCTACCTTCCAGCATTCTGCGACACTGAAATTTCAGCATTCAGTTATTAAAAAAAAACATACTTGGCACTCTTTAAGCAAAAAATCCAAAGGTTGGTTATAGCCATCGGAAGATAGCTGCAAGACCTATCACCGTCTTAGATTCCAACTACTGTCGTACTAAGTGGTTTAGAGAAGATATCTGTAGTTGTCTAACTTCAGACTATCACCTGTTATTTCTGTTATCTCGATAGCATGTCAATGTTCAAACCTCATAGCTCTTACCCTAACACTAACTTATTCACAGACACCATGTTTTTACTCGTACTTTACTCATATTTCATCAAAATAAAACTAAAAAAAAAGCCTCTTTCCCGAATATCGCCGAAAAAAGCGGACTTCAGAATCTACTGTATCAACTGACTCTTATTTTAATTTTTCTCCACTATCTCCAGAAATAAAAATAACTGAAACATAGTAAAGAAGCCCTGCGTTCTCTGACATTATAGAAAACCATATGATCTCTCTACTCCGATGTTCCACTATTTGTAAGACAAATAGCCCTTCTTATATAGCTTAAATATAAGTAAGCGAGTTGGTTTAGCGGAAATCCCTTTTTATCTTCTTTTTGAGCTTATCTTTTGGAATACCTTTTATCTTCTATTGATTCATGCTGTTGAGGAGCTCCTAGAAAATGAAGACACCCACAGAATGGATTGACCAGCGTGCTCCCATGATTTAAATACCGTTGAATAAGTGTAGGATCCTTTAGGAAGACCCTTGATGGCAGGATCGTTATCTCCGGAAACCACCAGATAACTGAAACAGATGCTCCTTGAAGAATGGGAATTCTTATCTTAAGAACTGTTAGGTACTGTTGTTAACTGAACATCGACAAACGGCGCAACGCAACCATTGCAGTTAGGGGAGGTCATATCTTTTATTAAGGCTTTTTTGGTTAGTTGTTCTTAATCTTGGCCAGTTAGTTTTTTACATCAACGCCATTCTGTCAATAAAGCCTTTTTCTGTTCGTTCCGGAGGTGTATGAGTCCTAATCATTTTTTTTTTTTTGCTACACTTTCCTTATCCTTTAAGTACTACATTGTGCCTTTGTAGTATGAGTTTCATGTCTCCCAATTGACTTTTTGCCGAATTATGGCCTAAATCAGAAAAGTTGCTTAAGTTTTGCACACTAATATATTTATATTTGATTAACTGTAATTTGAATGATAAATGTTTCGTAGTATTGGTGTAAAGATTCTAGAATGCAATTATTTTGTTCCTTGCTCCTTGTTCTGTAATTATTGACTTTCTGAAACTTTAATGATAAATTGTTTATGGTCTTAGACTGCAAAGATTTCAGATTGCGATTTTTTTGTTTCTTTTGCCCTGCTGTGTAATTACTGACTTTCTGAAACTTGAATGATAAACGTTTCATAGTGCTGGACCAGGGATGGGCTAACTCTGGACCGCCAGAAGCTTCTATCCGTCCCGCGGATAGAATTTTAATTTGCCGTCCCGAGGCAAATTAAAAGAAGTATGTATTTATATATTATATATCCATTTCCTTTTCTAATTTTGTTTAAATATTTTTTTTTTCTCTTCCTTTTTTCAAAGGACTGATGATATTTTTAATTTCTCTATTTTTGTTCTACAAAACATAAATCTACGGAAATTGCAAGATCAGACAGCATTCAATATGGGAATATAACTTAATCTGTTTCCTGGGCATCTAGCTAAGAACGACTTGTCTCATTTCCCGAGGTTAAATTTAGTACTCTCAGTAAATGAAGAGAAGCTTAAAAATTATGAAGATGGCTTGTAAAAAACTGCATTTTGAGTTCGAACGCAGATTTTAGTGCCATTCAAACAGAACTGGATATTTTTACCATGGCTTTCAATGTAAATTATGAACTAGTGAGGTCATATTTGCAGCTTGAATTAATTGATTTGCAATCTAACAATCATTTCAAGGAGTTATTACTAAATATGCCAAAGTTTGAGTTTTACAAATCATTAACGAAAGTAAGTTTCCCAAATTTATACCTCACGCCCAGAAAATCAGTGCTATGTTTGCTTCATCTTATATATGTGAACAAGTGTTTTCAACTGTAAACCTTAGAAAGAATTATTTAAGATGTAGACTGACAAATGAGCATTTAGCCTCGTTCCTTAGAATCAGTACATCTCACTTCGAACCTCAGTATGAGGAACTTTTAAAAATGAAATCGCCATTTCATTCATCTCATTAACATATTTAACTTGTAATACTTGTATATTGTTTTTAAAATTTTAGAAAAACTTATCTTGGCCCGCCAAACTTTTTTCCTTCGATTTTTAGCCCGCGACCGAAAACGTTTGCCCTTCCCTGTGTTAGACTGACTATAAAGCTTTCAGATTGCAATTTTTCTGTTCATGGTGTTAGACTGTGAAGCTTTCAGATTGCAGTTTTTCCTGTTTTTTTCTCTCGATTCTGTAATTAATGACTTTCCAAAAGTTGAATGATAATCGTTTTGTGATATTAGAATAGAAAGCTTTCAGACAGCAATTTTTATCTTTCTTTCGCCCGGTTCTGTAATTATTTTAAACGAATTTTCATTGTAAAAGGGATTTTATGTGACTTATTATAATTAGGTTTTATTTTCTTTCTTAAAAAACGCCGTCAAATTATTTTAGGGCAAATACGAAAACAGTTTTTGCTTCTAAAAATGTAAGATATAGATTTTCCCTGGAATTTATTGAATTTGTTTAACTAAATTGTCTGTTGAAGTTTTAGGCTAATATTATTGTTCAGTAATACCAGCTCTTAATTTTACTATTTCTTTGCTAAAGAAAGATAATTCTACTTACTTTATGTGGGAACTCCAAACCTAAGAAGCTCATTTTTATACTCCAAATAGACCATATGTAGTTAGCAGCCATACTAAAAACCGGGATTTCACGTAGAAGAGATTTTATCTCATCTTCTAGAGACACATTTGTGAGACGGCCTTCTTTCTGCAGTTGATCTAAATAGACCTTAAAATACGTCACCTAAAATGATGGAAATTATTCTCTGAAAGACTGAAAAATTATATCAGAAAAGGTAGCGATATAATAGAGAAGTAAAGTAAGTCGTATAATTGGAAAGAACTATAGGTGCATGATCAACTGTGGTTGCATAATTTTATGCGATTTCCTCATTTAAATGTTCTCTACTCCCTGTACAATTTTGAAAAATTATTGTACATAATATAGCAGTTTGAGAAGTTTCATATGAAAGAAAATATAGTGAATTCCTAATCTTGATTTATTCAAAATTATTTCCTTTTAAGTATATTCACTGCTCTTTTCCAAAGTGCATAAGAATGACTGATGGATTAAAAAAGATACTGCTGAAAGTTCTGGTTACAGGTTACAGAATGGTGGCTACATTGCCAACACAAAGCTGTTCAAATGTGTTTTGACTTGGTAATAGCATATAGTGACATGATGCTAAATTTAATGTGATTCTTGGCCCGAATTGTCACATAATGAAGTAAGGAAATTTGATCATCTAGGATGGGAGAAATACTTTATGACGATGCATTTAAGTTTTATCTGATTTACACTTTAAAATTGCCTACAGTTATGACCTATATAGCAGATGTTTGTCAGGAAACTATTTTATTTTTAATTTTTTAATGATAGATGAAAGCGTTACTATTCTTCTACAGCCAGTTTCAATTTCAAAATATAGCACCGTGTATTATGATTAATTATAAGCTGTTCTCGACTGTAATTCAAGAAGTTTTGTCTTTACCTGTTCTTCCTCAGAGGGAAATTTGTTGAAATCTCCTTCAAAGAAGGGAAATTTTTCTGTGATATAATTGAAACACCATTCACAAAAGTGATTTCCGATGTCAAAGCCCCTGGAAGGAAAATGAAAGATATACTTTTGATGAATACGAGACATGAAGCACATGAAATAAATGTTCTACTGTTCACTTGATATTTAATATAAATCTGTTTACACGTAAGTACAAAGACTATCAGTTTGAATGATAATTTAAAAAATTAAAAATACTATCAGTTGCATGCTCGGATAGCCAAGAAATTGTAGGAGTATTTGCGGTTAAAGAATGCTAAAAAGAATTCTTTATTAAAGGATTGGCTTTTTCCCAGAATAAACATCCCCAATAGCACGGTGACGTTGCTGCCACATTATTTAACTTCTTATATAGTTTTAACTGAACCCAGAATTCCAGTTAAAAATATTTTCATTATCTTTTAGTAAAACAAAATATTTCCTAATCTTTAATGTAAAATTGCGAAGTTATCCGTAATTAGCATTTTAATGAGACATTGCGAGCTTAATACTAACTGCCCTTTTATTCTTAAAAGGTGTTTAAGATAATGTGCTCATCAAAAGGCGATGCATCAAAGAAATATCTAATAATAAAATGCAGTTACAAATGGATATTTATCTATAAAAATTTACCGATATTTCAGCAGAAACTTTTAATAATCTGTTTCTGATTAAAGTATTATTTCATTTCTCTCTCTCTCTTTTTCCCCTCTTTTGCTAGCGCAATTTAAACTGGTTATATGGAAAATAATTTCCTTTTAGGAAATAGTTTTTTATTAATAAATTGGAAATGCATGGGTATTGGCTGGGCATGTAATTTAAAATGTTGCAAGCTATAACTTTAAGGTATTTTAAAAAATGTTAACATATCCAATGATACTAAGCGAAGAGCTATTCTTTTGCTGCTGGAGTATTATCGATCTGACTATTCATCAGCTTTCGTACTCAACCAGTTTAAAAATAAATAACAGTTTATTTGTATTTAGTGGGTTTACTCTAAAGCTAAAATGTACAGAACAATGTAGTCATCTTCCCAAGAACATTACATGCAAATTCACAGGAATTATCAATGCCTGTCTGTCCGCATCCTACTTTCCTACACAATAGAAAATGGGAAAGGTTATAATGATTCCCAAATCAGGTAAAAACCATTCCCAGCCAGATGGTTTACGTCCTATTGGTTTATTACCTAGGACTTTGGAAAAACCCATGAAAGAATCATATTAAACAGAAGAAAGAAATCCTACCTGAATTTACTATCTCCGGAATAGTTTGGGTTCCGTGAAAAACTCTCAACGACCAAACAACTTGTGCAAATTACAGAAGTTGCAGATCAAGCATTACACTGTAAATTAAATGTTGTTATTCTCATGCTAGACGTGGCGAACGCCTTTGACCGCGTCTGGCATGAGAGTCTTATCTACAAACTGATCAATCTGGCCTTTGCTCCTGAAATAATATTAGTGATACACTTCTTCATCACAATTCGGAAATTTAAAGTGTCTGTGGGGAATGCTTGCTCATCTGAAAGGAAACCACAAGGTTCGGTTTTCGGACGGATACTCTAATTATACTATGTGTATGACTTCCCTAAAATTCATCACAATAGTAGCGCAGTGTTATGCAGACGGTACTGCCTTGGCAGTAAAGTCTGCTAATATTAACCATGCAGTTAAAATGCTGCAGGTCAATACCCCACTAATAGAGGAATGATGTAGATATTGTAAGGTCTGCATCAGTGCTCAAAAGTCCCAATAGTTACTGATTCGAAGGAAGAAAAGAAATATCCCCCTTAAGATAAACCGCATTCTCTTTAGTCAGCCTATGCGAATTGTTCGTGAACCTCGTTATCTAGGACTAATCCTAAACAATAAATTAACCTCGACTTCGCACATAAATCATGTCAAGAATAAGGCAATTAAAGTAATGAAATAACTCTACCCACTTTTGAAAAAATTCCCTAAGCTGGATCTCGCAAAAAAGGGGCTAATTTACCTGTCTATGATTCGGCCACTCATGACATATGCGCTCCCAGCATGGGCAATGGCAACCCACTCGGACATTCACAAACTTCAAATAATTCAAAATAAATCTCTCCGAATGGTAACAAATGTTCATTATGTTGTGTTCGTAATAAGCTCTTGCATGATGACTTGAAAATGGAATCCATAAGATAATTTCTTCAGAAAGCAAATGAAAACTTTTTCACTAATGCTCAGGATTGTGAATACATGCAGTATTTTAATACTTTTCACAATGAGATTTTTTAATTGAGGACAAGCATCTTCATCCTTACGCTGCGTGCTTTCTAGGAAACACTAGTAACCAAACCTTTCCCACTTAACCATGGTTGTGAACATTTTAATTTGCTTATTCAATTAATGAAAGCTTCTGAAACTTTAGCAGCATCAGTGAGAGCCAGCACTGGGGTGGGTTACCACCCCACGTGACCTGACGCTCTAACTAATTTATATTGTGATGTTATGGATCTCTGCAATTAGTACATATGTATATAGTTTCTATTTTTGCTTCATCTTATTTATACATTTATCACTATTCAGCTTACTTAGTTTATTGTATTTTATGTATAGATTTGTTTATGTAATGAATTTCACCCTAAGTAGTGAATCAATGGATGAACTAGTCACGTGATGTGAGGACTTTAAGGTTTCTGTGAAACCCATTTTTCTGGGCATTGTTTATGTGTATAATTATGATTTGTGCAGCATCTAAAACTTCTTCTACTACGTGCTTATTTGCATTTAGTCGTTATTGGAAATATTTAAGAGTTGTATGCCATAATTACAGCAGACTTCATCCTCCGCACCTGATTGGTTGAAGTTGTCACGTGGTGTGAACTTTGGACATTTTGTGCATCGTATGATTTCTACGATAACTTGGACTTGTACATATCTCATATTTATTCTATTTTACTCAATACTTGCTGTATTTTATTGATGTGATTTGGTCATTGTTTAATCATTCAATGTATTGCTATTATTAGTTTTATTATGAATATCATTTTAAGCAGGAGATCTCATTTGAATTTGTCACGTGACGTGGACTTTCGAGAAAAATATATTTCTCAGCTTGTAAATAGATTCATGGACTCGTATTTATGATTACATAATTGAAGACTTGTACTGCTCACTGTATCATGACTTTAAAAGAAAAAAAATCTTATTTCCTGTATTTTAGGACTCTCTAATGGATCATCTTTCACCAATCAAGATGTCTTCAGAAGACACGTGACAAGTGGTTACACCTCTTTCCTCACCTGCTAGCCTGTCTTTCCAGATACATCATCAACATTCATCTACCTGAAACGCCCTAATGGCATATTAATTTCAGGAAGCCGGAACACACCTTGTAGTATAGCGGTTTATTAGCGGAACTAGGAACAAAATAGTAGATAACCTATCTGCGTTACTTTCATAGAATTGATGTAACTTGTCTCTTAATAAAACGAATTTGGAAGAACAAAACCTTACAAACACACACATTATACTTTCCTACAAACTACGTTAGAAGGTTGTCTAAGAAAGCCACTTTCCCTTGGGCAGACAGCAACTAGGTGTTTTGCCATAATTTAAATCAGAAATCACGCATAATGTAAATATAGCTACATCAAGTTTACAATTAATCATGTACAAAAGTATTAAGACAGTTCTCCATATAGTGTATCCTCATGTATTAGTTACAGTACGACACTTAACAGGAGGATTACTGTTTTGTCTTCCCGAAAAGTGCATCCTATTTTTGATACTTAAAAACAAATTCTGATGTGGACACCATATGACTTCCATATATGGCCCTGAAGTATACAGATTTTTTTTTTTCTGCACTTCGTTTAAACTTATTTCTTCGAATTATTCTAATTTAATTAACCAATCCTATAAGACACGTTGAAAATGACATCACAAATAGCAAATTTTGAAATTAAATATCGCGGTCAATTTTTTTTGTAAGCGAATCAATTTTCCTGTAATTTTTTTTTTCCATAACGAATATACAATTTTACCTTAAAATTTTTACTTTGAGTATATATTTCGCTATTTTCAAAAATTAATTCTTTTTTCAATTTGCCAAAACATGATTATTTTCGTCATTCAAAACACTTGTGTAAGTTCTGTACAAATAAAGTATATGACTGTTTTGTATAAAGTATATGACTGTATGTAGTGTATGACTGTATGACTGTATGACTGCATATAAAGTATATTACTGTATGTAGTGTCTGTGCTTTACAAGCAAAGTGTATGACTGCGACCAACGATTGCGAAAGTAAAGATGTTTAAGTCGGATAAGAGGGTGGGTATGATATATAAGTTTAGTACTGCTAACTGCAATAACTGGATGTTATAGCAGTTCCACATACAAAATTTCGTTTTGCTAATCATTTTTAAATTTTGTGATATACATGCGTACGTACGTACAGACGCCACAAGAAATTCCTTTTAAATCCATTTGGAAAAAGAAGTCTCTCCGTACCGACAGATATCACGAATAAAAAAAAAAAAGTCTAAATGGGCTCGAGAAAGGTGAAAATGAATATTTAAATTGAAAATGGTACCCGAATTTTTTTTTCCGATTACAATATCTGCTTTACTTGATACAAGGAAGTAAAAACGGCTCATCATGAAATACTTTAAAGGATAATAGCCTGGAGGCACCTTTCTATTTTGCCAACATCTGCAGGAATCGAAAAGGCTCGACCGACTTACATGAGTGTCAGTATACGAATGTCGCTCGAAAGTTTGAAACTGGGAAGGGGGTATGTAATACATGAATGTAAGCCAGAATTTCTTAAGAAGAAATTTAAAAACACAAAGATGCAGATCATTTTTCATTCTTTTGCTCTGTTAGGAAATAATGGCTTAAGAATACTGATATTAAAGGGGCTGCTAATGGTTTTTTTTTTGGCTAATGGTTTAGTCCAAAGGAGCTTTGTCCCTGAAGGACTATTGCTTTCGTTTTGCGATTTTGCGTTGAAACCGTTAAAAGTATTACTTTTTAAATCGTTGCCACCAAATACTATCGCCCTGTATTATATTAGAGGAAATTAGATAATGAAGAATCTGCATAAATGTATGTATGTTTCTCGCATTGTGATAAAACAGCGGTACCTAGAACCATCCAATTTTGAATGACGTATACCTACTGACAATACACTGACTACCAATAAGTATTTGGACACCTGTGATAGAAAAGAAAAACTATATTCAAAATCAATAGTTGGTAGAGCCTCCACGAGAGGTAATTACAGCGTGGACCCTCCGGGGCATACTTTCCACAAGTCTTTGTATGACAGCTAGTGGTATTTTCTTCCACTCGGCTTGGAGAAGACATAGAAGTTCCTTCACCGATTTTGCACGGGTAGTGCACCCCTGAATTCGGCGATGCAACTCGTCCCAGAGGTTCTCGATAGGGTTCAGGTCTGGACTCTGGGCAGGCCAGTCCATTCGATGAACTCCATTGGCACCATACCAAGCCTTGGTTAACGTCGAAACATGACAACTGGCATTGTCGTCCTGAAAGTAACAGGGGTCCAACCCGTAAAACTGCCACAACGTAGGAAGCACATTGTCATCCAAAATAGTGCAGTAGGCATCGGAGTTGAGCTTACCATGAATGGGGACCAAGGGTCCCAGCCCATACCAGGAGAAACACCCCAGACCATAATTCCACCTTCGCCGAACTTGACTGTTGGCACAATGCATTCTGGCAGGAGACGTTCTCCAGGTAGACGCCAGACCCAGACCCTGCCATCCGAACGGTAAAGGGTGAACCTTGATTCGTCACTCCAAAGAACCCGTTTCCACTGATCTACGGTCCAATTTCGATGTGCTTTGCACCACATTAACCGAGCAGCGCGGTTGGACTTTGTGATCAAAGGCTTATGGGCAGCAGCACGACCATGAAAACCAAGCAGATGTGCTTCCTTACGGATGGTATTCATTGAAACAATACTCCCGGATGCCTGTTGAAACTCCTCGCGGATGAGGGCTATCGGTTGGGTGCGGTTCTTCCGAATTTCTCTGAACAGCACTCGTCGGTCTCTACCCCCAGTTTCGTTGGTCTGCCGACTCGGGGCACATTCCGACAATCACCCCTCACCTTCCACTTCTTAATCACATAGGCCACTGTCGATATTGGGTACTTCAGATCGCTAGATATGTCCCTTAAGGATCGGCCACATTTGTGATACCCGATAATTATACCTTTCTCGAAATCAGAGAGCTCCGAACTGCGAGGCATCTTGCATGCGACTAGCCGATGCTGTTTCCTACACGATATATACCGGCGGAGTCCGTGGCGTACCTTGGGACCGCAGATATCGTCATTTGCATAGGTGTCCAAACTTATTGGTAGTCAGTGTAGACTGAAGCAATTTGAAAGGAATTTTTTTACTATTTCATTTTGTAAACTTTACGTTTTGATTAAAGACAATTTAAAGCGAGCAATGGCAAATTACGAAAACAAAATCCAGCGCGCGGACTGTGTATCGGAACTGTGTATCGGAAATTGTAAGTTCATTTTAAAATATTTTGCGACATTGCTGTTGAACTGAATTTTATGGCTTAAGTGCAAAGAACATGCTATTTAATAAATAAAAGTAACACACGGAAACGTTAAAAAAACGCTCCTTTGGACGTAATTTAAAATCTGAAACCTTTCAGATTTGATTATTTATTTATTGGTTCCGGGTGTCCGAGACATAACAATGACTGATGCCAAAGAACGAAGTAAGATCATTTTTATGGATTGGATTGGATTATTCAATTATGACAAAGCACACGAGGGCTATCTGCCTAAAGGAAAGGACGCTTTCGTGGAGGACTTTCTAAGGAAACTGTCTCGTATACACGTTACACATGGGGAAATCCACGAAAACTCCCATGCAGCCAGTCCGTTCGCGGAATTCGAACCTCGGGCCGAACTACCAGTGTTCAGCGACTTTACCGCTCAGCCGCTGTTGGGCTCATTTTTATGAATAATAAAAGAATCTTATTACTGTAATTTGGGCATCACCAGCCCTCTGGCCAATTTTCTTCCAAACTGTATTTTAGTTTGTTCGGGTTCTGTTCACTAGCTGATTGCATGTGGCTTTCATGGATTTCCCTGTCTATACTCGTTACCTAAGTACTAGCCTTTTCACTTAAGTCAAAAGGAATTTTCCATGATGCGATCTCCCGTCAAAAACAAATACATATTATGTTCTTTCCTTTATGTTAGTAACACGCAATCTCTTACGGAATTAAGTAACATCATTATCTACGAGGAATAATCTACGATTTATACACAAGAATAGCTACAGCTGTGGTACAATTAACTTCAACATTTACAAAGAGAAGGGCCTCAGTACTGAACAGAATTCTCAAGAACACGGAATTCACATGAATATTCTGTGGAACCCATATTCAGAACTTAAAGATCTTCAATTCTTTGGAAGTAGAATCTTGTAAGAATTCCGCTTATTTTAGAACTCAAAAAAGCAGGCTGTGGTTCATACGTTACAAGGCTATCTTGTGTTTAGTGTACTGTAATCGGTAAGCATTTGTCTCTCTTGCCAATGCGGAAACTCGCCAATTCCACTTTCTCACCCAAACCCGTTCCAGAAGATAAGTACCCATATGGTTACTAATTAATATTTAAAAAATCAAATAAGTATTTATATTGAGAAAAGGAAGTAAATATTTGATTTAGTAATAATTTTTGTGATGCAGGACTTCATTTATTGTAGAATTTTATTTATCACTTAGTTAGTCAAAAATTTTCCTGAAGTTACTGGAAAACAATGTCTTTCAGAAAGTTCATTGCTAATAATGAATCATAACAATTAATATGTTCTTGAAATATGTAAGCTATAATACATATAAAATTGAAAATGTACAAATAAAGTAAAGAAATTTTAGACGCATTTATTTTAATTATGCGAACATACCTGTAATTGTATCCACCGAATTCGAAATCGATTAAATTGATGTCAGGTTCGTTAAGTTTTGATGAATTTTCTCGAAGTAAAATATTTCCTGTCAAAAGCAAATTCAAGAGTTATTTAGAAAATGATGTTTTAAGTTTTCACTTTCAGAAATACAAGTAAAATTCTTCTGATAAATATACAAGTAGTTTACAAAAAGTTAAAAAAAAATTAGAAACTTTGCTCATTCAAAATAATGTGAAGTTTTATAAAATTTATAGAATATATATATATATATATATACATATATATTTTATATATATATACTTTTTCAAGATGGTCATGAGATGTTTGATGTTGATTATCCAAGTCCATAGAAATTATAATAATCGTATTCTTCGATTTAATGAATATTTCTGTTGGGCAGTAATAAAAGAAATCTTTACAAAATTTTGAATTAAAATACTGGTAGTTTTTAGGTTGGTATTCGAGAGATTCAAATGACAAAAATATTCCGAAGATACGAATTTTTAGATTCCAAATCGTTTTTTCAAACATGCTTGTTCTATCTCTAATTATTACATCGAAACCTGCAAATTTGTTTTTGTCAGCTACGTTTGAAATCTAAAATTTTTATTTCCATTTGTTAAAGTTTATACAAGTATTTCTATGCTAATCGATAAAAATAGAAAATTCAAATTTCGCACCTTTGAAGGGTTGCGCTTTCCTAATCAAAGTACTTAACGATGCCTATTGATAAAAAAAGTACGTTATATTCTGTTATGAATATGTCCAGAAATATTTTATGAATAATGTGATAGGCATTTAAAATATTAAACTTAATAACTATGAAAGCGATTAAAAAATCTTACTAAATTTTACTGTAAACTTTTTGTAGAATTTTACAATATAAAATATATTTACACAATTTTGTTTTCTAGTAGAAAACAGATAAGTTTGTTGTCTTAAATAATTCTTTTTTTCCCTAAAATCTACTCTAACTGCTTTTAACTATTTGAAAGTCTTAACAGTTTTTATTCAATTAATAATCCCGTGCGATGTAAACGTTCAGAAGAATGTTTAATTAAAAAAAAATGTTTTCATTGTCATCCTATAAAAATAAAAATTTACTTTAATAATTATTTAAACTTTAAAAAAACAGTGATTAATAGACGAATTAAATTAAATAATTAATTCGTCTATTAATCACTGTTTTTTAAAGTTGCATTCTTTTAAGATTATTTCCCTATTTTAGTTTAAAAAAAATTCTTTTCATTCTCAGTAAATCCACTGTAAGGAACTCTTCATTTAAACCAAAAGAACTCAGTGTTAATTAATTAATTAAATTAAGACTATGAAATACGATACCTGGTTCAGATTTACTTTGAATTCTTCAGAAATTTTAGAAGTGTTCGAAAAGCGTCTTTATGACTACGGTTGAAAGCTTTTTACTTTTATAGTAAAAGAATGGAATCTGGAGTAGCAGTCGGTAAATTCTCAGCCAGAATAAATTTCTATTTTTAAAATTTCAAACTCTAAAATAAATGAGACCTATGGATATTTCGTAAAAAACTTACCTCCATGGAGGTCATTATGACAGTAAACGAGAGGTGAATTTGTTTTTTCCATTTCTTTTCTGAAAGAAAAGGAATGAATAAAATACTTAATGGATGGGTATGTAAACTATCTAATTTCAATATTACAAATTTTGCAGTTTGTGTATGCAGTTAGGCTTACTTAACACTGCAATATTTCAAATTTTGTAGCTTTTAATAAAATAAGATCAGTTTATAGATTTTGTAATTTAAACGTGTTAATGAAAATCCTTATTAAATATTAGGTTGTCAATTGTTTAAAATTATAGCATTATTAGATTAAAAACTGCCTTTCAGGAATAAACTGTTGCAGTGTTAAGGCAAGCCACTGGAAGACAGCTGCAGTTGATACATGCCGAGTGAAAACCTATTCTAAATGCTGAAGCATGTGTTGAAGGAAATTTATCCTAAAACAATAATTTTTAAGCAAGGAACTGCGCCGACCTGAAACGTCTTGATGATCGAAGAGTCAGGATGTAACGAGAGATTTCGGTATTCCAGGATGTTGAGATCTCCCATAGAGGGCGTTGTAGCACCCCTGTTTTCTTTTCATGTTTCTCTCTTCAAATATCCCAATACTTTTTACAAGTAAAATGACACATTATCGTCTTACTGTTATTGATGCATCTGTCATAATCGGTATAGTGGTTAGGAGTCCTGGCTACTGTATCTTTGGGCTCGGGTTCGAATCTCGGAGACGTTAATAGTATCTGCGAAGTTATAGTATCTTTGCGGAATAGGTGTACTATAAATTAAAGGGAACCTGAAAGCCCTCTTGTGTGGTTTGTTGGTAGGAAATGAGGAACTGGAGACTTTCGGACTGTTTTGGAGGGTGTCCTCAACCAAAATTGGAGCGGAGCTTAAAAGCTAGTGTATTACTACACCATGGGACCAACGGTAAATTTCTGATTTCCCGTCCTTTTCAACATTTACCTTCTACTGGCACATAAAAGTTTTTTTTTCTTTAATATTAGCTAAAGAAATACTTCAGTTTTACTTTTAGGATTATGTAAATGCATGTGCGTTAGGAATCACATGACAGAGATTAATTTTAGAATGACGCACTTCAGAAAGATTTTTTAAAAACATTTTATTGTTCTAGAATAGAACAGAGAAGTAACGAAATTAAACAGAAGGTTCACTGGGTTAATGCAAATTAATGTTAAAATATTATTTTCACATTCTTTGTGTACATAGATAAAATTCCTGACAATTCCTGTGCATTCCAGACTGGAGAGACGACTAAAGTGACTAATAGAGAAGGAATTATTCTAACTTAAAAGAGAGCGAGTTTGACTAATAACGTTCTAAGGTGAAAGAACAATGGCATAATCACTTGATCTTAAAACTACACGAAACTTTCATAAGTGAGAGTTTCGTCAAGTTTTTGAGAGATCGTATTATTTTAATGGTTAGAAGTTGTAGAAAAACTTTTCAGTTAAATGAAGAAAGTGAATTCTGGAATCATTCGAATTCAAACAACTGCACATTGAGCAGAATGTTTTATTTTAGTCTTGAGCTGTAAAAAGGTATTTATGTTATGGTGTTCTGTGCAGGAGAATATTGTCTCCCTTAAATAAACAAAAGGGCAATATCAGTGGAATCTGGTAAGATATGAAGAGTTTTCATTTGGCGCTTATAAATGTGTATGGTTTTGTAACTAAGAGTATAAAGTTTCATTGTTTATTGCACCCACCTTTTCACTAGTAAATCTTCAAGCTTTAAATGTGATTGATTCATGTTTGACAACGTTAGATGTTAAACCGAGTTATTTCTGTAAGTGTAAAGTGGATAAGATTACTAAGTTATAGCAAAATAACAACAGATCTATCATCTACTCGGGAATTGAAGGACCTCATAAATAGTCAACAGCAGTAACTGTAGATCATACCTCTCTAAAATACTAGTGATCAAAATTTAAGCAACAAATTCATTTTTCAACATACAACTACAAAATTGTTGAAGAGGACTTTTTGCGATGAGTACAATGAAAGGCCAACTCTATAGAAAGATGATGCATATGCAAATATCAGCACGATGATGACAGAAAAACCCGGCGAACGGGCTAACTGTATAGGTGTTTTCGCAGTTTTTGCTAAGTGTAACGTGGATACGAGCCGGTTTTCCTTAAGAGTCCTCCCCAGGACATTCCCAGTATAGTGCCAAAAGAGTGCGCATGTAATAAATAAATATGTTTAAAAAATGCCGCCGACGCTCTAAACGTAGAAACTTTTATTAAAATTTAATTATTTTTAAGGGAAAAAAATGCAATTTTCATAAAGGTTCGCAATGAAACATGAAAGAGTAGTTAATTATGGATTTATAAAATTGCCTGGCGACACCTAAGAGCCAACTTTCTAACTTCAAAAATCGATTTTTCAAATAATATGCAGAAAGTAAAAAACTTTTCTTTCTAATAGATAGCTTAGAATGACTGCTTGACGTTATAAGATAATAAGACTATAGGTGTGATTAATTTAGTTATAGTTAACACAGTCCTATTTTGAGAAACGTATTATTGTAAGTACAAAATATTCAGCTGAAATATTTTTTAATTACGGCAACAATATAAGGTAGTTTCTTCCACTTTACCGAGTGCTTGCGTGGTGTAAATGGATAGCACGTCTGGTTAACAATCAGGAAGTCCGATTTTCGAAATCTGTCGAGGGCACTGCACATTTTTCACGTTTGCTACATCGAGAAAACCTAATGCATTTACAACAAAATAAGTAAAATTTGAGATTAATTTCTTGAAATACTTACGTTAGCCATTCAAATTCTTCTTCGTACCACTGTCTTTGTGAAAATGATTGGTTTCTTTTCAGGAATTCTTCTTCAATGTCGTCAAGCCATCTATAACAATTAATGGAGTAGAAGCAATAGTTTGTGCATTGTTACAGAAATACATATTTAAAAAAATTAAGATTTAATATTAGTTCTCAGTTTCAAAGAAAAATTCAATATTGGGCAATTTAGATTTGTATGTTAGTTTACTATTTACATCTTACACCTTTAATGAAAAAGACATTTCTTTCTCTTGTCCTTTTACTTATGCTTTATAGAAACTTTACCAAAGATGAGCTGATAAAATGATGATTATTAGAAATTTATCCTTTGTGTTGGAAAGGGATGGCTGTTACAGTTTCACACGATATTTGCCATGTGCAGTATAAAAACATTGCTAATCTTCCTAAATCTTTTGAGAGCGCATATTGCTTAAGGCAACTACTCGAAACTTTCCCAATATTGTTTCACTATATTTGTGGTTTAATCTTGAAAAATGATTACAGTAATGAACACAAGTTTTCTGCATTTCATGTTCATAGATAAATTATTAAAAAATGACAAATAAATAGAAGGCTACATAGTTAGAACCGCTCTTCTCGTTAAGAAGTTTTTAAATGCAATTCGCATTTTCATACGTGGAAGAAACTAGTAAAATCACATGCAATCAACCTGTTTTCAATAGTTCGGAACCAAACCTAGGACGAATCATCAGTAGTAAGGAGTCTGCATCTGTTCGGCCACTAGTGGGCCTCAGATTTTCTCAAAGAGCAGAATATGTTTTTTTACGTCTTACAAAACAGCAGCATGAATTGTCTATGTACATTTCTGTGTTTGCACCAATTATTTTCGGAGCCTTGAAAATTAGAAAAAAAATCCAACCATTTCCGACGTTATCCAGGCATGATCGGCAAGACTTACTTTCTTTACTATTTATTTTTCATCATGAAATAGTATTAAGTTAATCATAAATTTTTCATTTTCTTCGAGTGCTATAGTTTGATATACTTTCATTCAGGTTATTGGTTAACCCTTTGCGGCACAGTGTGTCCGGTCTCGACACACCTAAAAATTTCCTTCTGTACGCACAGAAAAATTGAATAAAACGGATTTATAGGTTACTTTAGGTTACTCTGAACCTTTATAGTATATGGCAGCTCAATACAAACCAGTCCATATATTTTAGCCATGTTTAGTTTTTTAAGACCCTCATTTTTCAAAGAAATCTTCCAGATTTTTTTTAGGGTTTAAAAGGAATTGTTTGAGGACTGTATGCTAATCTCCTTATTTAATACTAGTTTTAAATTTTTACCTTGAAATCTTGCCTAAAATCAAACGGCGAACCCTAGGTGTGTCTAGACTGGGCTCACTGATAATCTAGGACAACTGAGAGTCTGTATTCTTTGTTTCTCCACATCTCATCGGTCAGTTCATTGACAACACTCTTTTCGAAGCTCTGTTCAATCAGTGTGCCCTTTTTGGGCACACCCACATAATTGAAACGATAAGTGCTATCTTCACAAAATTTTAATTGTGTATTCCTCTAGACCTAATTAGACTGCCTACCTTTTTTTTAAATCAAAACTCCTACTGTGTCCTCTCCAAATCAAATAAAGCCTACTATGGCTTTAGAGGCTATCCCTGGACTCATCCATAAAGAGAAGAACCCTCCGCTGATCAGCCGCCCAGTGGATATTTTGACGTGGCCGCCTCAAGCGTGATGTGACGTGAGCGGTACTCAAATGGCTGTTCACCTCGCGTACAGACCTCCTTCGTAAAGCCTTCCACACACAGTTGACGTTGGAACCAGCCTTCTGGTGAACTAGAATGGCAGCAATAAGGGAGGATCTGAGTTGGAAATTTGATTCTATTCCATCGGGCACTTAGCAACAAATCATCAGCGCTCACCGTAGCGGTTGACCATCTTTGGCTGAACCTCCTTTTGGATGCCGAATCTGGGGTTAGAAACAACTTCAAAAAATAAGCTACTACGAAAAAAATTTAAAATTCTCATAGACTACCTGGCAATGAACTGCGAAAATCTAAAAGCATGTAGGGTTTATGTTTATTTTAACTAACATTTATTTTAAGCAATCTTTCCTGTCAAACCTTTACTTTCCCCTAGAATTGCCAATGCCAGAGTATGTAAATCGTAGTAGAACGCGCAAAGTATTCAAATTTTAGCAGAAGTAATTTGAGTTAAATAGAAGGGAAACGAGATTCGTAAGCTGTTTCTTGAATTCACGAGCGTGAAGGTTGGCTTAGTAGAAATTTAAGAACCACGCGTTTCGGCCTGTGTGCTATTTCGACAGTTCGTTGAATCTTTCAAATTCTAATCAGAAAGTTTGCTGAATCTCAGCTGTATCTTAGAACGCGGTTAAGGTTAGTTACGTTATAGAGCCTCGTAGGTAGTGACTTCTTTAGTTTATTCATCCTGTCATTTATTTTTAGTTGACTTTTTTCTATTTTGTTAACCGCCGGGTCGGCGTAGTTCGTAGTTTGTGAGCGTCAAGAGAACGCAGCTGTAATTTCTAAAGTTGAAATAAAAAGGGAGTTAAACCCTTCTTAAGAGTCTGTGTAATTTCCAGTTCATAGCAGTCACTACTACTATTGCGTGCAAGGTTGGAGGCCTCGCAACATACATTGGCGCCCGAACACTTGTCGAACTGAAATGGCCGAAAACTGGATGGAAGCTCCTGTACAATTCCAACAACAAGAAATGGCAAGCCAATTGGAAGGATTTGGATACCTGGTCCAGACGATGAGAGCGTCAATCAAGCCAAACGTCAATTTCGACGGAAAAAAATTCGGTGGCGATATTTCTAGAAGGCCTCGAAAATCACTTTCCAGCTCTACCCTGTGCCTGAAAGACAAAAAGTTGCCATCGCCACATCTGCACTAAGAGGACAGGCCTCGCTATGGTGGAAGAATATAGGCAAATTTTTATTAGGGGAATTCGGAAGGCCAAACATATACATTTGAAAATTTCAAAAAATCATTATTAAAGGCCTTCCCCATAGTGAAAGACCGAGCAAGGCTAGAAGCCGAACTGTATAGTTTTTATCAACGGAATATAGAAGAGTTGACGGACTTTATTCTGCGAAAAATTAAGCTGACGGATATGCTGTATGGGAAGAAACCCGACGCGGAGATTATTGAAATAATCTTACCAAGATTGTACCTGCTGTTCAGACTACTTCGAAATTAGAAACCCAAGCACCTTGCAGGAGCTCTTCGAATTGGCGGTCAAGTTCCAAAATCGCAGAATAGCGGAAAAAGCTAGAGGGGCATCGTATTCTCAAAGTATCCGAAGGCAATCTTCAAATGAGCAGACCAGAAACACAAACCGCTCTTATGGGGGAAAGAGCTATCAAGCTAACTCATCGAAGCTCGAAGGTCAAGGCCCAAAAAGGAAATTTGAAAACAACCGTCCGCGTACCCAGAAGGCAGAAGTTGAAAGGAAAGCTTTAAACGAGTAGAGGGGCCTGTAAAGCGAGGGTCCAGACCCCGGAAGTTTTGAAAAAACCCTCAAGAAGATACCTTAAATACGGTCATCGTAAAGAACTCACAGTTACCAATTATACAAGTCCTGGTTGGCGATGTACCAGTAGAAGCCCTCATCGATACAGGGGCAGAAGGTAATTTTATGAATTTTTTTTAAGTGATACATTTTAAGAAGAATTTATTTAAAAATAAAAACACAGAAATTATAGCGGCGCAAGGGAAAAACCTGTCAATGCATTGGGAAAATTATCATTACAAATACCGCGAGGTGAACAGGTGAATGCAGGGTCCAGGAACAACCGCGGACCTTAGGCTTAATGACCATGAAACAAATCGGGTGAGTCGTTCCGGTACCCGCACCTAGTTTAGAACAACACAACTGCCGACAAACCCTGTAGGACTAAACCTTACCGCTATGATAAACAGAAAGACAAATCATAGAAGAACATATTCAGGAAATGTTAAAGAACCAAAATAATAACGCCCATAAATAGTGAGTACGCGAGTCCAGTCGTACTATGTAGGAAAAAGAACGAGTTTCCCTCCTTCGGATAAAAGGGCTTGGAGGTTTGCTATCGATTACAGAAAACTTAATAGTATTACTAAATTCCCAGTTTACCCTTTGCCGGTTATAGAGGAAATTATTAGAAAGATTAAATCTACAGATACATGACTACGTTTGGACTTAACGTCTGGCTACTATCAAATAGCTATGAGACCCGAAGACATACATAAAACCGCGTTTATAACAAAATCGGGCACTTATGCATTTTTACGCATGCCCTTTGGGTTGTGTGGGGCCCCATCAACATTCCAGAGAGCTATGGACATTGTTCTAAAGCCTGTCCTAGGAAAATCGACTTTAATCTATCTAGATGATATAATTATAACGAGTAGTACGTTGGAACAACATATTAAAGATCTAGAAGAAGTTTTTTAAATTATTAAAAGAGGCCGGTCTTACAATTAACGCCTCAAAATGCAAGTTCGCAACTAAAGAACTTAAATATCTGGGTTATAAAATTTCGCAAAAGGGTATAGAAACTCAAGATTCAAAAATAAAAGCCATCAAGAATTTCCCACCTCCCAACACCGCCAAGAAACTTTCTTCTTTCCTTGGGTTATGTTCTTATTATCGGTCGTTCATAAAAGATTTTGCTAATATTGTTGAACCCTTGTTAGTAATTAAAAGAAAGAAAAGAAAAGTAAATTCACGTGGACAGCAGAGGCAAATACTGCATTTGAAAGGTTAAAAGAAGCACTCATCAATGCCCCTGTTTTGAAATTCCCCGAAGGGGACGAAAACCTGGAAATTGCAGCAGATGCGTCGGACTATGCCGTAATATATCCAGTTGATATTGTTCAGTATAATGCAATATCCAAGTTACCACTGACTTCTAGAGCAAATATTTTCTGTAAAACTGAGAATCACAATGCATAAAATATTGCTAAAATCCTCGTTCTCCATAGTCAAAGTCTTGACAGGGTCTCTTTAATAACTACAGGCCATAAATACGCATCTTCTAAAGTAACTTAAAAGAAATTCCGCTACAAAATTTGATATTCAATAGATATTTTTGAAATGTAAGGGCACATCCCTTACATTTGTATACCATTGCATGGTTAGGTATATAAGATATTAACCGGGTACGTCTACTGTACTATACACTTTTGAATTCTATACCGCTTTAATTATCTATCGAAAGATGTTTTTCCTTCCTGGATAAGCAGGCAGGACACAACGACTTACAAAAAAGATACATTAAAGAAACACTGCGTTAGAGGTATTATATAAGGGACAGAAATTCCGTATGGAGGTTTCGTACATTATAAAATATAATAGATACATTTATTATATTTTTTCTACATATAATACTTAAAATTTTTTTTTGCATAATTTCAAATTCTATAGAAGAAATGTTTCCTTTCTTTATCTAAAAGTCTTTTGAAGGAAATTTTTTAAATAGAAATAATTTTTTTTGTTGTTATTTTTAATAGGTACAGCAAATCCTTGACGAATGCAGGAATGTCATTAACACGTTACGCATTTGCCAAAATCAATTGTATAACTTCTCCTCTTTCCATACCTATAAATAGTTCGCCTCCAGTTGCTTTTGCAATTGGTACGATTTTTTGGCTTCATTTTCATTCGACCTATTAAAATTGTTCGAAGATTCTAGCCTGATAATTCACTGCCAGCGAGCATTCATTGTTGATGGATGGAGTTTTGGAGCGCGTATGAATGAAGTTCTAGAGGTATACAAATTAAATGAAACAATCAAAAGGGCGCGTATATGTAAAATCGCGTTCTGCAAATGTGTGCTCTACAGGGTTTACGATATTTTAAACTAAAAACGTTTGCTGCAAAAAGAAGATATAAAGTTAAAATTACAAAAATTGTAAATAATTAAACAAGCTATGTATTTCATTTTGTAGTTTTAAAGTTTGTTTATTTGCCCTATTCATTTTGCACTTTTCTATTAGGTAAGTTAATGTAAAGACATACTTATTTACGTATTGCCATATCTCCGGAGTTTTCACGACTGGAACATCTAGAGCATGAATTTTTGCCATTTCTCTTGCTATAGTAGTTGCCATATTCCTGATGTCATCACGGTTTATATTACGAGACTGTAAATTACGAAAACCTTTATGTGAACTCATATAAATGAAAACTTAAATGTACTTATTTAAGTAAATAATATAACATATAAATGCATTCTTTTGTACAATTAAAGCATTATTTTATGCATTGTCTTTAGTAATTACTGAACATTAATAATTATATCTAGAAAAAATATCCAAAGTTGTTTTCAGCATGTATGGAAAGTTCTCTGGATGTATGTATACTAACATCTTATCTAGGTGTATATAGAAAGTTTCTTTTTTTCTGCTCAGTTGAAAGGTGTTAAAATTACAACATCTTAGATTATTTTCATTTAAACATAATTTAAATCTGACGTTATTTAAAGCATGATCTCAACTAGTAATTTAGATATTTATTATTTTAATTGATATGAGCTACATCTCCACCAGAAAGAATATCATATGCATAGAAAAGCTTCTTCTAATTTCATATGGAATTATTGCTATAGAAGCAAAATTCCACATGTATCCAGAAGCTAAGCATATTTTGTTTCATTTTTACTTGAAAATAATTTTAATGAACTAGTATGTGATGTGTCTTAAAACACGCATATCCTTATTAGCCGTTCTAAAATTTATTTTATCTGATTGATATGGAATGCATCTTTAACAAAAAGAAAATTAATTTTAATTTTTTTTATCACTTTACTAAATTATAATAAAGCCAGCAGCAGGCTGATGTCTGGTATTGAATCTTTAATACGAAAATTTGCATTGTTGTTGATTCGTTTGCAAATATATTAAATTTTGTTTAATGCTTTGCATGCGATCGTTTCTATAAATCTTGAACCACCTTAGGACTTTGACCAGTGTCTCGCAAATGAGTTCGCGAAAATACGTTCATATAACTCCAGATGACAGGAAATGCAATAGGCCTAAAGAATGCTGGACGATCAAATCGAAAGATCACTCGATGTTTTGGTCGGAGCGATGTTTTACTTTGATGATGTTGGCTGGAATGATAGAAACATGGCAAAGCTTAGCGCCAAGAAGTTAGCGGTTGATTTATGGAAATATCAGGACGGGAGGACAAAGCGATTATCAGAGCGGCTCTCACAGCATTTGATTTGTCATTATCAAAAATCCGATATATATCCAGGACATTATATCCACTCCATATCCACTTTCGCAAGAAACATTGATAAGTGACTCAAAGATCGCAACCGGCGCTAACCACTTATAGTGCCAACTGTCCTTCATCTGTGCACACCGACGAGCCCTTTTACAATGGTTCCAGACACATTCTACCTGAAATCTTATTGACTTGAGTAGAATTACTTTCAGCGATGAATCCTGCTTCAAAGTAATCCATGAGGAGCGGTGAAGACGTGTCTAGAGATGTACAATACACCGGAGACATAGTGATCTGGCTGTCGCCTATCATACAACATGGCAACATGGAATTATGGCTCGAGATGTCATTTCATTTGACAGTTCATGCTTGTCCTTTAGCTTGTCGTAGTACCCTTACAACACGGCGGTACTTTGACGGCATTCTAGGCCTAGTTATTTCCACTTCCTTTCAAAGCACCCCCTGATATGCATTTCAACAGGATTATGCCTTTCTGTATTTTTGCTTATCACTTCTTGCTTGCCAAACTTTTCCAATCAACCCAGGATGTCGTTGACCTAATTTCGCAGGTAGAAAAAGCTTGGTAATACATCTGTAAAGAGCTCATTCGTCAACTCTAGTAACTAATGTCAAGTAGTCAAAAGGTTTGCATAAAAAGATAGAAGTTTCAGCTTTTTATTTTTGTCACTACTTGTAACCTGATTATAACATTCAAATAATATTCAGATAATCTGAAACAATAATCGGTTCTTTTCCTATGGATCTACATCACATCTACTGTATTTTATCCTTTTCGGATAACCCTTCCTCGTACTTTTTGTGCATGCGCCTGTATTTTCCAACCACAGTGGAATTGTCATTTACATTGGCTAAGAAGTAAGTAACTAAAGACAAACAGGAGACAGCTGTCTGTTGAAAATAACCTCTTCGGAAACCTTTCTCTCCAGAAATTCGCTTGTGTTTTCATTACATGCAGGGAAAACTGGTGTTTTGCATAGTAAAACTCGATGCAAATGCTTCCAAAGGGATATCAGACCAACAGTCTCGGCTAGACCTGTTTTTGTTTTGCCATTACTTTCACCAGTCTTACCATCAGAGTGCTTCAGTTGTTAACAGTGTGCACGTGACCTAAAAGAGAGTTTTTCCATGCTGTCCGCAGCACTAATTACCCAGCTATATGCAAGCATTCTGAGAATTTAATGATTTAATTTACTGTTTCTAAAATAAAAAAGGAGTTTAAAAATTAAATTAAAAATGAGTTTAATTTAATATTATAACATATCTCAACAATATATATCTATTATCTATTAGTCAGTGACAGGAAGTTACATTCTAAGAAGTCAGCAGAAATCTCCTTTCAAAACTCAAAGAATTTTTAGAACCCGTCTCTTTAAATGCCACATATAAGAATATTATGTAACTAGAAGCAGTCGAGCCTGCTTCTAGTTACAAGAGGAAGGCACAAGGAAAAGAGGGAGAAAATACCTTAAGGAATTTGAAAAGCAAAATGGTTCGAAAAAATTTAATTAATGCACTGCATATTTATTATTACCATAAAATATGCAAAACATTTCGTTGTTCAACGTTTTTTGAGAATCCATTTAGCATGTTTAGAAATGAAATTTTGATAATTTCAAATTGTAAAAAGCCTATTGTAATACACAGAGTTTTAAAAAACGTCAATACACTTACCGGTATGAACTCTTCCAAACGTCCCTTAGGGAAAACGCCGTATAATTTAGGCCCTAAATTTCTCTCTGATAGAAGCATGTAAGTGACTGCTTCCCTTATAACAACATTGCTATCTTCCTGCAATGGACCATAGATCCTGAGTAAGGCTTCCTTGGGAACTCGAGAGTCTTTCACAACACAGTTCTCCGGCAGAGCACAATGATAAAGGGTGTTCGATAGCCCACCTCTGTAATAAAAATAATTTTTATGTTAAAATTCAATCGGTGAACCCGATTGAATAACCATCTGTAATAACTTTTGAGAGAAATCACAACTTCAACAAGAGCGCACAGAAATGCTACCGATATACTTTTGTCATATAATTTTCCTGCATTAATTTTGTCATAAATTTATTAATTACATGTTGCAGGAGCTATATAGCAATTCAGCATCTTTACATAATTCCTGTAATATCGGTTTTATGTTTTTATAACGACGGAGTTGATGTTAGTTACTAACCATACACTTCGCTTCCGTACCATAACAAATACGGTATACAGAGAAATTAATATTTGAAAGGAAATAACGTTAAGACGAAGAAACGAGTTTTTATATAAATTTTGGGGACCTGAGATGTCGGGTTTAAGCCGTCTGATATTTGATAACACATTAAAGTATATATTGTTGACAAAGAATACTGAAAACAGGGAGGAAGATAAAAATTTTAGATTATAAATTATTGAAAATAAAAATTTATGAAACATTTCTGAGCTCAAATTTCTGTTATCAAAATGTATTTGAGGGAACCTAGTATCATATCAAAAATTATATTTTTTGGATAATACTTAACATTTTTAGTTTGCCTTTTTATATGCCTACATTAATTTTTTCAAGTCAATTGCTTTCGTTTGCAGATGTATTTTTCATTAAAAGTTTAAAGAAATGTTGTATTTCAGAGTTTTAATGAGCTAAGATACTGTTCATGATATTTACTTTTCTTTTATGCTCTTACCAAATCTTATTATTATTGATTATTTTTTCCTTAAATTATATCATTTCATTTATATATATATAAACTCGATATTGACACACTTCTGACACCATGTAAACCGGCGTCTAGGGGATTTCTAGGCTGACAATACATATCTAGGTGACTTCAGTATTTTATTTAATTATTGGTGGAGAAACATTAGTGACTATTTACAAATGAAAACAAAAAGAGTGATGATTGAGAGGTTACATCTTTGTTGAAGATCAAATAGGATAGCAGGACTAGAACAGGGGCAGTGAACTCTCTCTATACATACTTGTAAGAAAAATAAAGAATATGTAAAAGATTAAATTAGCAGAGAACATTAATTCCCTTCTGTATTCTAAAAATAGTAACCTCTACTTGTACTGCGTCTATAAGAAAAATCTGTGTCATATGACTCTTACATAATTCTGATGATGTAAATGAAACTAAAATTCAAACAGCCTATAGTAATTTTGCAGCAATATTAACCATCTAATCAAAATGCATTGAGAACCAAAACTAATGCAGTCTAAATTAAGATTTCACCCTGAACATAACACACTTGCTTTCAACGCTTTGACTTAGCTAGACTGCTGTCTATTTGCTGCTTCTTTCTTGCTAAAATTTATCAAAAAGGTAAACTTTTTGGAATAGGCACATAAAATGTGCTAATTTGTTTGTGGCCACAATATGTTTAATTAAATAATAAATAGTTAAATTAAATATACCTTGACTGCCAAATTTCTTATTCCTTGTGGATCGGCGTTTCAGCTATCTACGGCATCAAAATTCTAGCTGTTCATTGTGGATGCAACCATCTGCGTTCTACTACAGAATCTGTTACAGAAAACTCAACAGGATATCCACTTGTGCCCCTTCCATCACCTTTTGCTTGTACTTTCCTCTTCGCAAGATGCTTTATTGTAATCATGTATGAGCTGCTATATTCGCTTCTATGGCAATAATATCAAAAATTTTAAGTGTTCTTTAATCGGCACGAGTAGAGTGCCAAGCGAAATGTGGCCACAAAATGAGAATTTAAATAAAAAATGAATTTAATCCGGCTCGACTGCTTATTTTTCAAAATGGATGGACGCTCTAAGCATCAAGTATCTACGCAATCAGTATTTTTGCACATTTACATCTCAGTGTTTTTATTTCAGTGCTTCCAAAATTGTTCTGTAATTACATTCTTCGACCAGTTCTAATTATGAAGAAATCTACATGGGTTTATTATTCTATGTTCACAGTGAATCACGGGAAAAGTCCTGTTTCACCAAAGATTTTAATGCAAGTTTGTGCCGCATTCTCAATACAATCATTCATGTCGTGTCATCGAACCACAGTTTCATTACATACATATATTCACATATATGTATACATATACATATATATATATATATATATATATTAGAGAGAGAGAGAGAGAGAGAGAGAGAGAAATAGGAAGAAAGAGGAAAGAGAGATATCCTTTTACCAGCTGCAACAGGAACGTGATGATTCCAGGTAAGAAGTTTTGCCGAATAACTGAATCTTTATTTTTAGAACGTGATTGCTCTTACTTCGTGATGGCATCTGTAGAAAATGAAACATACCAAATCTGTTGGTAGCGTTTTTGATCGACCAAAATTAAGTAGTTATTATTAAAAATTGTACATTTTATTTAAAATTAAAACACAGAATTTTATATGTAAGTTTATTACCTCTAACTATATACTAACTAGTTATTTTACTTTTTGCATCTTTACTTTCCCTACCAGAATGTAACAAAGGTGTAATGAGATAGTATTTAGGTTTCAATAATTTTATTCATAATGTGTTCTGCCTCTCGAGGTCATGCTACTAGGTTAGCTAGCTAGTATAAGATTGTATTATTCAGCTTTGCATTAGAGTTGTCGATATTAAATTGTTATGCGTGTAAGAAGCAAACTTCACATTAATTTGAAGTATATAGTCTTGGACGATTAGCTGTTCAATTTAAATTTAAATTTGACTGTTGTTTTAAGTTACATCGCCACAAGTGGGTGGCGGAATTTGTAACTATGAGTCGTGCATTTATGTTCAAAGTTCTGATTTAATAAAAGAGTTTTCTTTTTTTGAAACCATCGTAAGACTTTCCAGTTCTGTCCAGACAGCGATTATTCTCTTAGCGTCTGTTAGGAGTTTGATACTTAGTTTGCTATCAAAACAAGTCAAAATTTAAATATATATCAGAAAAAGGAAATTAATAGCATTTTAAAATTACCATATTTATTATCATACGAATATTCAGATTTTCTTAGCACGATATCATATAACTTAGAATGCCAGCATGCTTACAAGACTGTCACTGTAATTTTAAAAATTTGCTGTGAAAACAAAGAAGCTGTCATATACTGATCAATTTTTCTTAAAAAAGCTTATGAATGTTTGTCTTCGCTGGATTCTATCAACGTAATTTTCTTGATCTGCATGTCGCCTTTATCTTCAATCGCCCCTCCTTCACATCATCTTTCTCCTTTCTAAGTACATGTCAGATTATTTCGTCGTCACCTTGAAAGGCCGGGAAGAGAACAGAATTGTCTACACTGCATCTTCTCTTCACTGACACTAATGTTCTCCGAATATATATAAGTCAATCCAAAATATCTGACACTGGCGCCGGACGCGCTTCAAAACCAAGGTAGTCTTTGTCACTCGATTCGTCATCTACGAAAATAATCATAGGCACAATTTGCACCACGAACGACGTGAAATAATGTTGTTTATATTTTTCCAGGGAAGACGTAAAGTAAAATTGACGCCTTTCAGGGTGAATTGTTTCTGAAACTCGTAGACGCTATTTTCATTGTTTACTTAGACAGGCATAAAAAGAGATCACTTGTTCATCTTTATAAAATATGGATAAATTCTTGATTCACTAGTTTTATAGGACTTAAAGCTTTGGGATGTAGAAATATAGTACAAATTTTTTCAACATTTTAGTCTTCAGATTGTTGGCCCAATGCAAACAAATGCCGTTATTTTGATACTGCCAAATAACTGAGCCCTGGTTAAGAGGGATTATAATTTATATATATATTTGACTAATTTATATATATTTGACTAATTTACTTTATTTACTAATCATAATTTTATTCCAGTTATTGTTATTTATTTTTATAATTCTAAGTACTTTGTTTAATTAACTATTATTTTTCATCTCATTCAATTATACTCGGTACAAAATATTTTTCCATAGAACTCCGGCAGTTTCATTCTTATAAATTAGGTTTTGAAATGTTTTAGCATTAAAATTAAACAATTATATTTATGACCTGGAATTTATCTTCGATGGGAAACTGACTTAAAAATGTTAAATACCTTACATAACAAGTAACAACAGTATCTCCGTAAAAATGGTTTATTCTTTGATGGGGTTGAAGAATTAAATATAAAATCTGTGGAAAATACTACTCAGTTAGAAGCCTATTTAATGATCTCGTTTTTATTATGCAAGTTTAGGCAAATGACATCCTTGTAAAATTCGCCAAACCTAAGAATAAAATTTGTTTTGTCTCTTGATCAGAAAGGTAGTAAGTTCGAAATGAATTTGAAAGAAAAACTAGAATAGTATTTTGAAAAGTTAAAGCAAGAAGAATATTTACCTGAAAGTATTTGTCGGAAATATACAATCAGCTATAATTCCTTGTTTCCTTGTAAAACTCATTAGTGGAAGATTATTTAAATTCTATTATGTTTCTCTAAGTAAAATTATATGATATTCGTACCGTTTCAGAAAAACAAAAAACTCAGTTCAGTTCCCAGGAATTGAGAACTCTGATTGTGTGCCTATTTTCCTCATATATAAATAAGCACACTCGTGCTCAAAATCAAGAGAATTTGCAAATTATGTATGTTTTTACGGAAAGCTTTGAATAAACGGTACCGAAGTCAGAGCAGAATACGTAAGCGTACTCGAGTGTGTCTGCGGAGCTGTGATAATGGAGGGGATGTAAACGCATGAGGGGTTTTCAGAAATGTGTATACTCGTACATCTTCACGACATTCGCCGTCTTTCTAGCAACATTTGTATAAATCTTGTAAGGTATTCTTGGTATAATCTTATGAAGCTGGATATACCTTATAAGGTAAAATGAGTATTCACGAACGTATACAATGAAATGAGATGGAGAATTTTCGGTGGATTAGAGGCAGGCCAGTTACAAGGGTACGTGGCTACAGAGCACAATGCAACACCTAATGTCGTCTGC